AAGATAAACCAGATTACATATCAGTTTCAGTGATTTATCATTCTTACCTGATTTATTTATATGTAAACAATCCCTGGAACAATACCACACCATTTTCACTCACAGCCTCACTGCTGTGAGCAGATCTGAAGTCTGCGTAGGTAGAAAGAATCTGGCATTCCTAAGACCACATCATTCATCAGGAACTTTGCAATAAATATACATTAAGTGAAACAGGGAAAAAAACAAAAACCAACCCCGAACAAAACAAAACAAAACAAAAACCCCAACAAAACAAACCAAACAAACCAAAAATCAAATCCCAACACAATTTAAAGTTAGTGGTGTATGTTCTATTACATTTACCATCATGTGGCTATATCCTTCATTCATCAAGGTAATAGCACATAGAAAAATCACAAATGTAAAACAGATTATATTAAAAAAATCTACGAAATAACTTTAAGGATAACTGCAATTTTCTATTTCTATTGTATTGCGTGGTCTTATTGATAACATGGAATATAGTCAAGAAACTCTACATGTGTCTTTCCACTAAAGCTCTACTACAGATGCATTTCAAACTAAGGCAGATCCTGCCAAAGCTATGTCTGCCTGCTTACTGTTCCCTCACTGATGTAGTTTCCCCTGCTCATTACTTTCTTTTCTCGCTTCTAAACCCAGCTGTTAATTGCTTTGACCTTTAGTTGATTCCCTTGAACTCAGGAAATTTGCATTGTATTAAAACTAAGCTAACCACAATTTTAACTTCCATTCTAATTAATGCAGTTGTAACACTGTAAATCAGATTTTCAAGAATATTCAGAAATCGGTCTAACTCTTACATGTCAGTTGGTCCAATTCTTACATGTCAGAATTTATGGAAGTCTGATACATGGTATTGCCATTATAAAGGGGAGTCCTTCTCAGAACTGTATGGCTACTGTCCCCTAAATATCATATTGTAGTCACTGCTTTATTATATTTAACATGATATTCTACAGTAACTAGAATTTAATAGCAAATCTGTTCATGGATGTAAGAATATTTAATCTATACTTAGTAAACCTACTTTATTTTGCCTCATTGATACAGAATACCGTAGGAAAGACTATCAGGGCCAGCTATCCCCTTATTTTAATTTATGCTTTTGCAATGGTATCAGTAAAATTAATGTAAGAAATGCAAATTAAGATCCAGATATCAACATACCAAATTTGGATTCTTGTGTTCCCCCCCACCTCAGGATAAATATGTGACTTAGGAGAACTTACACAGCAATTACTCTACACAGCTGTCAAGACATTTTACAAAAGGTCCTTGGTAGATGGGCAGAGCGAAGTATTAAAAAAGCAACATTTTTTTTTCTAGATTACAAACTATTTAAAGAACAATTTTGGACTAGAAATCAGTGCACATTTAAACTGAATGGTTTTTGGTTTGTAACTAGGTCATCAAATTAGGTGCAATATCACCCAAGGGTCTCATTATAGTCAATGGCGAAAGACCAGCTGAATAGACCCTTGGAGCTGCCCATTAAATGTAAGCACCTACAGAGCCTACGTTACTTTTTAATGCCCCAATTAAAAATTTAAGGTTAGGCAGAATTGAGTCTCAGTAATCCTGCGCTGTGGGTACCTTTCAGCTCCGATGTGTGCCCCAACCACGTCCTCCAGCTCGGAAATAAAGCCAGTTGCACACCTCCCCCCACGTCCTACCTCTGTGAAACAAAAACTAGATGGAGACCACAGTAGTTTTTCTGTGGTATTCTGCTGAGAATGAAACAGCTATTGACATTTCCAGGCACCCACGCTCTAAAGTCTCCAAGCTAAGGACATTAATCTGCGTGAGGGTGTAAGGGCTGCGAGGCGAGCCACCAGGCTGACAGGAAAGGGGGTGCTCACGCACGTGTTTGCATTTGGGAGCCTGAAGGAAGGAAGGGCTGCAATCACAATACGGTCATGATGCAAGTTTGGAAATTGTTCATCTGAAAGCAGAGGATTAAGTTGATGCCGTTTCTTCATCAGTGCTTTTAATTAGTTTCTTAGCAGACAAAAATATAGTCACATTTTTGCTCATCCAAATGAATAAAGAATCTAAAAATTACTTTTTTCATCTTTGGTTCGTATTCACGAGTGGGACCCCATAGTCCAAATGTTTTCACTGTCATTTTACCATATTGTCTGACCTTCTTCAGCATCCCTCAGTTAAGTATAAGTTGTTGCTCCCCTGTATATTTGAACAGCATTAAAACAGAGCTATCCTGTAGTTTGCTACTATGATTCTTGTGCTGTTTGACGGCATAACTCTAAAATCTATTTACTTGGATGCACTATTTAAAATTCGATGCTCAGTTTCCTGTCTATGACTGCTACATCCTAGATTATTAGATATATATAAAAAAAATTTGCTACTGTCACCGCTTTCTGTTGCTGTTCTGTAAATCAGTGAAACAGTTTTATTGCAAGTGCATAAATAGGTAGCGTTCCAATATAAGCTGAATGAAGACTTTGCTCAAGCTAACCACACTGATTTTTTTAGTAAAAAACTTGGGGAAATACTGTTTAGGGACAATCTTTACAATTAATATACTTCTTTAAATATTTAGTCCCTCACTTAAATAAAATTTTCACGTAGCATTAGTAAAAGATATCAAAGTACTGCCTTTCCACTTCTAGACAAGTGAAAGAGAACTGATCATATATAGTCAGAAGAATTGCTAGCAGAACGATGTCAGAAGCCACGTCTGTTTGGAATCCTTTCTCCTGAAGGTAGACATATTTCACTAAAAAGCATGTTTGCCCCTGTGAGACACCTCCTCTATCAGTGAGATACTATTCTGATATTTTTTTCTGCCAAGATAGTTAAGAACCTGGAATAACTTGGAGTCTTAGTTTTTAAAACAAAGTGACCAGCCTTTCCACTTCCTTTCACAGTCAGGGATGAAAGAAGCACTGTTTAAGCTAAAAAGATAATGTTGGCACAAAAAGATGCAACGCACATGGGTGTAAATCGGTGACAGATACACTGTGATGAACATTAGAAAGCATTTAAACATAAGAGAAATGACATCCTGGAAAAGGTTTATGGAGAAAGACATTAAAAAACCCCCACTTCTAGTACGGGAACGGGCTTTCCAATATTAATAGCATGCCATGCTATGAGACCAGACCGCAGGTTTTAACAGTTGCTACAGGAGATGAACATAAGCAATGACAATGTTTAGCCTGACACCTCAATGTTTAGACTTTTTAGGATTCTAATACTGGAGCTCTTACACATTTTCATATTACAAGCATGTTGGATTGTTTCTGGCAGCATGAAGAATAGCAAGTCTTCAGTGTTGGCACATTACCTGGCAATACTCAGAGCTGTAAACTATGGTCCCTGACCTGTCATGCTATCAAAGATCAAAGTAAATCATCATTAAGCTGAACAATTCACTGATAATTCAAAAAGTGAAAATATTTTAACATAATAGTGGTGACCTTAGCCCACTGAGAGTCTTTTGAGAAGTGTCATTGGGATATTAGAGAAATTATGAATTATGTCTGTGGAAAGTTATACCTTAGTAAGAAACATCAGAATCTTGAGGCACTACTATATTGTAAAAAACCTTTATTCGGCATTTCTGCATTTACCGATCTTCACAGGGAACGTGAAATAAAGAAGTAGTATGAAATTATTACTTAATGCTCAGCATTAAGCATCACTATGTGAAAATAATGGCACGCGCCGGTGCCGGAGAATTTTTAATTATCATTTAGACTAAGATCTTTCATGCCGTAGGTAGAGGTTCGGTAGGTCACCACAGCAAAAGAAATCATTCCGTCTTAATAGAAACCTTCAATTTAGAAAGTAATTTTTATTGTCCTTTTGCAGGTGTAAGGAGGTTACGTGCAGAAGCGGGGCTGGAAGACAGGCCGCCCGCCCCGGCCTGCATCTTCCCACCCTCCATCACATCTCGGAGAGGTAACGTTTAGGGGGAGCGATAAAGCCTCTCAGCCTGCGTGATGAAGTTGGCAAGAACAGGGAAGTTTCGGGGCACGAAGTCCTTTCGAAAGCCTGGTGAGAAGTCACGCAGTCCGAACCAGAGGAGTAGTGATCTCCAGCGCTTCTCATTCAATATTATAGAAACGAATTAAAACACTTGACAGGAAAGAGTTATCGGCGCCTGAAAAGCAAGGTGTGATAAGGCCTAACGATGGTGTCTCTGTCGAGTCTGCGATGATCGGAGCTGAGCAGTCACAAATGATTTGCCACGGGCCCACGGTGTGGGTGGTGGCTTCTGAACACAAGCCTGCTTTAAGACGGCACTGGAGCAGCTCTGCAGCCCGGGCCAACCCGCGCCTCAGTGCTCCCGCTCTCTTTGTTTTTCAAGGGAAAAACAAACAAGCAAACAGCCACGCTCCGAACGCCGAGGGGCGCCAGCGAGGCCGGTGGCGAGCGGCGCCGCCCCGCGGAACGCCCGCCGCGCCGCCCGCGCCGCCCGCCCGGGCCCCTTTGGCTGCGGCACCGCGGGCGGCGGAAGGAGGGCGGCTGGCCATGGTGCGCGTGGCGGTGGGAGGGGGTGGGTGCGGGACCCGCGGGCTCCGCTTCTGGGGACGGCGGGGGGGTGTGTGTGGGGGGGTGTGTGGGGGGGGGGGTGTGTGTGGGGGGGTGTTCCGCACGCTGCGGCCCCGGCCCTGGCCCTCTCCTTCCCGCCGGCAGCGGCCCCGCCGCCCGGCCTGGAGAGGCCTCGGGAGCCCGCGGCGGCTCCCTGCCGGGCGGGCCCGTAACGGCCCCGCGTGTAAACGCGGCTCCCCGCCCCTCGCACGGCGCGTTTCCCCTCGAGGAGGCTTGCGTGGGCCCGGCGGGCGAGGGCCGCGGGGCTGGCTGTGCGCCGGCGCCGGCGGATCCGCGGGCGGGGGAGGCGAGGAGCGGGGCGAGCGTGCGGAGCCAGCGCTGGGGGCCCTGGAGCTTCCTCCGGGTCGGTTATCCTTAAGCGCTGGTGCTGACACGGGTAATTTGATGTGCTGAAGTTTGCGTTTACTGGTGGCTGTTTCCTGTGTCACCTTTGCGCCTTCTTGCCCTCAGGTGTATTCTTTTGCACGCAAAGAGTTCCGAGAATTTGAATTGCATGTCGTTTGACAAAGCCTTTCGGTTTTGTTCAAAAAACTTTTTCACCAGAAAGTAACATAACTTAAGCTACTGCCACGGCATTTTTTTTTTTAAATGTGTGAGTAGTATTCTCTCTCTGTGCTGCATGAAGGGCCAGAGAAAGAAAGCTTCTGGCTGCTCCCTGGTGTGAGGTGTTCTCATGGTCTGGGGGGAGGGACAACAAAATCCTTTTTGTTAAGTTGTACAAACTATGTACAAGCTTTGTCAGAAACCCAGCTGCAGCAGTCTGATAGAAGCATGAATGGGGACATTTACTGCTAAGGTAAGGAGAGGTAATTTCAGTTTCCTAACTGCAGAGTTCTACAAAATAGGTGTTTTGAGACCAGTCGCTATGTAAGATTTTTTACAGCATTTTTTGTGTTCCAGTAGCTTTGTTACAGTGTGTACCATGTTGAAGTAATTTTGTTTGTTGCTGAGGAGGCCAAGTTCTAACTGGTGGAACTGATAAACTGCTGCTGTAAGTTAAGGGCTTTCTAAAATATTGATGCATGACCTTTTAAATCTTTACCATGGTGTGTGCTCCTGTCTTTCCTTTAATGCTTTACTTAACTTTAGTAGTATATAGTATCTTTTATTTCTTTTCAGCCAAAGTTACGAAAAACCCAAGGAGGGAAGCAAGAGAAAAAAGTTATCCATCCTTATAGCAGAAAAGCTGCACAGCTTGCAAGGGAGGCACACAAACAGGAAAAGAAGGAAAAGTAAGTTGACTGTGCAGAATCTCTGTGCAGACCAAAGGATAATATCACAGTAGATAACTTCTTGTTTGGGGGGAGGCGGGTGGTGGTAGATGTAACCTGAAGATAACAGAAAGGCCTGTATACCTCAGTAGTGCTGGGCCATGTGAACTGGTGGGTGTACAGTCATGAAATCAGTTTATACGAAGTATATAGTTCCACTATATGGCTTTTGGTATTGTTCTTAGCAGTTAGGTTTCTTTGTATTGCAGCATTTTGCTTTTATAATCTGAATGGCATGATGCTGGTGATTTCACATGAAGCTTAGTCACCTAGGTTGACTTCAAGGCTTAATGAGAATCCTGTTTAGCACCTAGCTGCTTCTGCTGAAGTGCTGAGTTCATGGAAAAGAAAACTCAAAAGCTTCCTGTAGAAGAGAGACTGCCCAATAAAACTGAATAATTAATTCCTCTTTGGTGATTTCCTCCTGTTCCATGTCAAGTTTGGTTTTCTGCTTTTAAGTTTTACCTGCTCCTTCCACAGAGGGAAAAGATAGCTGGAGAAGACTGGCCTTTTGTTTCCATGCTGTCTCAGCTTGCTACTTGATATGCTGTGATTGTTTAGGAAGTTATTAAAGGAAACCTAAAGCATTTTCTGTCATAGTATACTAGTATTTGGACAGACCATGTGGTCTGAACCCAAATACTCATACATCTGAAGGTGTCAGATTGGGAACTCCTGGTGCAGCTGAAGCGTTCCTCAGAGACTGTGCAATTTTGTGGTTGGGGATGGATGCACAGCCTTATCCACAGCAAAGTGGTAAGGCTGCTCTAACTAGAAAGGGGGCCCTTACTGGCATAGCTGTGCCATGTAGCCTCAAGCAGAGCTGCTGCAAGAATGTACACGTAGCATGTGTTGAGGATCAGACAGTTTTCTAATGGCAAGAAGTTTTCCCCGCTGCTTCATGTTTTGCCTGTGCTCTCTGACTACTGATTGTAAGTAAGTTTTTATTGTAGATTATTTTCCTAGTGCTAAATTGGCTACTTCATCCCTTAGCTCTCATCTTGCCTCATAACTGCCACCAAGAATGCTTAATCGCAAAAGATAACTGAATCGTGTTTGATTCTTGGTGCTTGGATCTATGACTTTCCCATACAGAAAAACATGAACAAAACTTACTGAGTGAAGGAGTGATGTGCTGATTATTCATTATGACATTGTACACTCAGTCAAATCTTTTAGTGATTGTCTCTGTGGGTAGAGTTATGCGGATATAGACACCTGTCCTGACGTTTCTTGTTAGAGTGCTGGTTTTGGTTCCTCTTACAACAGCTAGAAGTTAAAGAACTCCCACTGTAATAGTATTCCTCCGTTTAACTTGCTCTTTAATTACTTTTCTTTGTGGAGAAGGTTTTAAGGTATATGTTAGGGATTGCACAGGGCAATCTATTTTCTTCCGGGTAAGAGGGTACCAAATGCATCATTGATTTCTTTACTTAATGCATTAATAATGAAGTAATTAGGTCATTCTTTCCACGAAAAGGAATGAAAAGGTGCTGGCTTTGTACTGGCTAGGTATTGTTACTGAGGCAGCTATGTTTCTCTGATGAACAGCTGAAAAGTCGTGGGCTACCAGAGCCACCTTTGCAGTAGTGGGACACTCAGTCCACTGCTAACATTGTCAAGTGAAGTCTACAGAGCAAAATACAGAATCAAAATTGCTTTAGGAGCCAAAGACCACTTAGTAGTTTTGAGCATACAGGATTCAGTAAACTGGAAATATCACCACCTTTCTGATTCTCTAGATAGATACTCATAATAAGCAATTGTAACAGACCTTGCGCTTTCTTGCATGATGATCTAGATGATCTTAACCCTTAAATTCAGTTAAAAATAAAAAAGTTCCCCCAATGACAAACAAAAAATTAAATTCTTTAATTTATTGAAAGTTTCCTTTCAGAAGTTATCACCAAATGTATTAATCTAGAGACTTGTTCACCTGAGAGTTGGTTCTAGTGCCTGGTCTTTACTGTGTAGGTTTCTGTCTGTGCTTGCCAGAGTGGATTAAGTCTCACAGCTCAGCACATGGCAATGCCAGTCTTTTATCTGCACTAGACCACGGCTGTAGTTTTACAGAAGATGCTCCAGTTAATAGATCGTGGAATGCAGCTCTCAGTTCAACCACATTAATTTTTTAATCTTTTTTAAGCTAAAAAAAAATGTGTTTGTTGGATTGAACAGCAGCTAACTTCTCAGTGCTGGAGAACCAGGTTACACAAGGATGAAGAGGGTGTTTGTTCAGGGAGTATACTTCCTAAACCTTGCAAGTAACACCTTATCTTGACTAGCAGTACATGTAGAACACTTGCTACAGTGTCTTCCTTCTATCTCATAACACCCATTGCCACTGGCTGTTAAAGACAGCTAAATGCTCCTTGCCCATTATTTGAGCTATAGTATTTTCACCTGTGCACAACAGCAGGTTAATTCCCTATGAAAGGTTTTTTTGGAGGATTTAAGTTTAGTTCAGATGCTTTTGCTAACACATGTAAGGCTACCATGTTACTTCAGCCTTTCTTTATAAAGTTATTTGCTTTTTAAAAAGGAATTTTACATAAAAGAAACAAACTTACTTATAAATGAGTTTTTTACCTATTGAAGAGACAGTGGTCTTTATGCCAGTGTGGTTAGCCTTCCTGTTCCTTTCCTCTGCAATGTAGAAAAGGTGCTAGTCATGGCAACAGAGTCCTTCCAAGTGAAACAAGCAGACTACCTTTTGGTACATGCCACGGGGTTACCTGAGGAAAAAGTACCATTGTATGAAAAAGGATTAAATACTGGCAGCCAAGCAAGCTGGTAAAAAGTGAGCTTCAAGCAGCCCAGTGAAAGAGCAGATGGTTTATCCTGAGTTCTTGTGGGGGATTGGTGAAGCCTAATGCATTCACAGATCAAAGGTATTTTAATCTTAAACTCATTTGCCCTCGGTTGAGGATGTAGGTAACTATGCTTCCCTTAGGCTTTCTTTAGGATGTTGATTGTTATCCTTTTTAAGCCTCACAGAGCAGAGATGCTCCATAAGGAGAATCTCGATTTAAGAATAGAGGATGTAGATTGCTATCCATTTCTTTAGGCTCTGTTCCTTGCTTTCTGCCGTTTCTTTTCCAAGCCTCCTTACTATTTCAAGTGTGAGGCCTCTAGGCTGATGGTATAAGATGTAGACCTCCATTTTTCATAGGGAAACTGTTCCACCAGAAGTAATGTGGCAGTCTGGACCATCCAAAGCATATTGTGATAGCAAAGTGATCTATCTATAAAAAAGATTTCTACATCTTACAGTTCTGGATCCTAAACAGTTAACTAGCATTGTTCACAGATCTGCACTTTGTAGATCTCTTTTGTTGTGGTGCTCTAAAAATAATTCACATTAAAAACATCTTCCAGTTTTCTATATTCTATTTTATGTACTGTCTTGTCTTGAAGAGCAATTTAACTTGAAAGACACGAATACATGATTTCTTCCCTTTGTCTTTTAAAGACCTGTTCAGGGTTCCGATTTCTTTTGGATCTCTATTATCTTAATGATCAGCTAGCTAAATCTGAAGATCTTTTATTTTTTTTAAATGTTGGGAGTTAAGCATGTGTTTAAAAGCAGTCAGTTTAGCCACTCACCAGACTTTTTAGTGTAATTACTTAGCTTTCAGTTTCTTTAAGAAAATGATGGGGTTTGGATTCATTTTGCAGAGCTCTGAAAAATAAATTTCTGATGCTGTGGACAGAGGAAAGCTTTCCACTCCTACAGTCAGGAAAAAGAAGTAGCTCACACCAATTTTGTTCTTCCTCATTGCTTTTGCAGGTCTATTAAATGTCTCCTTTTAGTGGCAGCTGATAATACTAAATAAATGCTCTGGCATTGTTTGTTTCCAAATTTGTGACTTAACTGCAATAAATTTACTGAAGACTTTTTCATTGGAAAATGACTTACTGAAGTTGAAATATTTGCAGAAACAATTTTCCAAATTACTTCTGTTTAGTGATAACCCTGGTCTCTGGTTGGAAAGTTTGCTTTGGTTTTGTGTGATTTGTTTATTTTGTGTTGTGATTTTTTTTTTTTGTTGTTTTCCTTTGGTACTTGACTGGAGTTAGGATTCAACGCTAGAGACAGCTTAAGCTTCTATTTACTTCTTATATGACTTTTCTATATGATGAAGAGAAATAACTACAGTGAACATTCCTGCTTATGTTAAACAGGAAAGGAAATTACATTCAGTTGTGAGTTGCATATTCAGGTATCCTTTAGGGAAGACATTACCTACAAGGCATTTCAATACTTAATGCAGTGCTGGGAAAAAGGAGGGAGAAATTCTGCTGTAAGTTGCAAAAGTCTTTTACAGTCTGCATTGTCCAGATACTTTTCAGTGCGAGCATTCTCAATGAAATATGACCGTAACAATAAGCTTGTTGTCCAGAAACTGTGGCTGCACTACAAAAGACCAATTTTGACCATAATAAGAGGAAACGGACCAGCTGATTTTAGCAAATTGACTACAGTCTTAAGTCATCTTGTTCACTTGAATTGCACCTTTTTCTTGCCTGTATCCCTATTCTCAATTCTCCTCAAGGTCTAATGAGCAGCAACAAATTCCAGTGTATTATTACTAATTTATTCTCTCTTAATCTATACGTGACTCCTTATTGCTATAGGCAACTTGTTTGCTCTGTTAGATAATTACAAAGATGTTTTTATGAGGTAGAAATAGCTGGTACACTGGCACCAGTAGAACACTGCTTTTCCTACACTTTAGGAAACCAGACTGTAATGGGATATTCCTGGAACTTCTTTTAGTAGTGATGGACCAACAACAATTGTGTTCTGTTTGCGACTCCTGAAATGTCAGTCTGGTTTGGTAGCTAAAGCAGATCTAGCACAGCATTTTTTTCTTTTCCCTGTTGTTTTCCCTCCAGAGTCAAAACATACCTCTCCTATTGTGCATCTATTGCCAGTTTTTTAGGAGACTTTTCACTTCCATTACAAATTTACCAGTCTAATACTGTCATGCTCTAAGATGTTTTTACAGTATTTCGTACTCTGTCATGAAGCAACCCCTTAGGAATAAGTGGTAACCTCATAATATCTCCTTGTGGAGCTCTTTGTTTCTCCCTAGCTTTTCTGTTGGCTAATCTCTAAATCTCCCTTGAGCCACTATGCTTCTACTTGTGCTGTTTGCAGCAGTGATGCTTTGAGATATGTTCTTGCAGATCTGTCAAGTGGAACTGAACAAATGTTAGGTCTTTTTGCTTACATCAATAAAAAAAAAAATGAACTGCAAAAAAATCAGAGCTTTTAATTCTTATAGAGGGATTTTTCACGTAGAAGTATCCTAAAATGCTTAACCAAGCCACTAATTGGTGTGTAAGCTAACAAAAACGGGCATGTGTAGGAAGGAATGTGGAAGGTATATAGCAATCTGAAACAAGGAAATATGTCCTGTAACCCATGAATTATTTGTTTTTTTCTTAACGAAAGAGTGTATCTTAGTTCTCAGAGCCAGAGATGGCGTTTGTATGAGTGGACATTATTGGGAAAAATACTGAATTAGTAAACTGATTTAGCAAATACTCAGTAATTGTTAGTATTTAGAGTACAGCAGTTGAATATAATACCTGAGGTAGAGATAATGATGAAGTATGAAGGCTTTAACTTTTTAAGTACCTAGGAAATATCAAGAAAGCCACTAATCATCCATATCAATAATCAGTGCCTAAGCAGGTGATTTTTGGGAAGCAAGTAGAGGAGAAAATTGCTAGGAGGCAACAGCCTGCCACAAGATTGTGTCCCTGTCCTCACCCTCTCTTTCCCTTGAGCAGATGTCACTCATTGTGTGGAAGGAGGTAAAAGGAACTTTCTTTGACTTACCTTATTTGATCTCCCTGCTAATACTCTTGTCTTTTAACGGTCATTGAGGTAAAGTTTTTATGAAAAGTACAATAAGGCAGCATCTGATCCTATCGTTCATTATTAATCATGCTGAAATAAGTTGTGTACACCTAGAAACTGAAGGAAATCCTGGTTATCTACTTCATTGTCTTGATAAATAAATGATCTAGTGACCCTTGTAGGCGCAGATGGCAATTTGTAGTGTTTTAAAGCATAGATACATGACACTATTTATGATTCCAATCAGGCAGGTTTTCTAGATGGCATCATAGTTTTCTCCATGGCAACACTTTGCAGATGTGCTCAGCTGGCTGTGTTGCCATGCAAGGTTCACAGCAGTAACTGCTTGTGTGGAGTTCCACTCTGGAAAATGTGTCCTTTTCTTGGTTGCTATTACTGTTCAAAACTCCCTGCTGTAAGCCTTCTTGTAGGCTACCTACCACAATTTTTTATTGAAGGCATTTTCTACAGCTGAGTTTTAAAGTTGACTTCTAATGTAATTCCTTTTTCCTTTCTTTTTTTACACAGTCTTACCCGAGTCTGTCCTTTAACCCACAGGAATGAGAGTAACTTTTGTTTTAACACTAGAAATCTTTTAATTAATCAACCAGCTTGGGTTTATTTGGCAGGTATGATAAAACTCAAACCCCATGCTTGACCTGTATAGACTTTTGAATTAAAAAAGCTTATCCCAGATGGTGGGGTATCTGTAGAAGTAAAAAGGCTCTCCTTGGATGTGTTAGTGGAATTCTTAGCAGCTCACACATGCTGTGCCTTTGCTTTTATGTGACTTTTAGATGGTCTTCAGAGAACGAAATACCTCTTGAAAAAGCTAACCTTTATTTTAAAAATGTAGATTTGTAGCCAAGTGACATAGGTATGTTTGTCTCAGGAAAGTAGGGCTTTCCCGTTTGATCTGAATTTTTGTGACAGGTGACAGACTTCTGTGCTCTGAGTTATTTCAGTTAACTCTAAAATGCTCATTAAATTCTACAGAGTACAAGGAAATTAATGAAGTGGCACATTAGCTCATTAGCTTTGAACTGTGTGTCGTGGTTTGAACTCAGAAGGCAACTGAGCACCACACAGCTGCTCACTTCCTCCTACCACCCCAGTTCTGAGGAGGACAAAATAAACCGGGCTTGGGATTCAAGACAGGAGAGGGAAGGGCAAATCACCCATGATGGTCATGGCCAAAAGGCAGACTTGTTAAGGGAAGAAAAAAAGAATATAGATTTATTACAGACACTACCAACAACACTTAACAAAGTGGGACAGTGAGAAACATTGCCACATCTTGAGAACACCTTCCCCCCACCCCTCCCTTCTTCCCGGGCTCAGCTCTGCTCCCGATATCTCTACTTCCTCCCCCAGTGGCGCAGGGGCAGGGAATGGGGGGTGCAGTCAGTGCTGCTGCTTCTTCCATCTTTGGTGGGGGGAGCTTCTGGAACTTGTTCCTTCTGCTCCATCGTGGTCCCCCTCTCACAAGAGACAGTCCTCCACAAACTTTCTCCAACATGAGTTCCTCCCATGGGCCGCAGCGTTCCCCACACTGCTCCGTCATGGGTCACTAACTTCCTCCGACTGGATTCCCTCCCACGGCTGCAGCCCTTCCCGAGCTGCTCCGGCGTGGGACTCCCCCGCATGCTGCAATCCTCCCAGTGCTGAATTACAGCAGCGGGGCTGCCTTTTCCCATGAGACCCCGGCCTCCTTGGGGCACAGAACCTTGATCATCGGAGCAGGAGCAACAGGCCATAAATCAATGTCTGCTCCACCGTAGATCTCCATGGGTGGCAGGGGGGGCCGCCCTGCCATCTCCCCACAGGATACAGGGGGGTCTCTGCTCCGGCACACCTCCCCCCTTCTTCCTTCCTCCGTTCCTCCACTGACCTTGGTGTTCACGCAGCTGCAGCAACTCCTCCTCACAAGTCCCACTGCTCCTCACCACGTCCCTTCTTAAATACGTTATCACAGAGGCGCAGCCGATTGGCTCAATTTCCCAAACAGAAGTGGAGCTGACGTGGGGCTGGGGGAGCTTTGAGAAGCTTCTCACAGGGCGCTGCCCCGATAGCCCCCTCCCCTGCCACCAAAAAACCCCACCACTCAACCCAGGACACTGTTAAATTTTGGCATTGTTTGTTCTTCATCAATTATATCCTTTATGATTTTCTTTATCCTTTATCACTTTTCTTATTAAATAATAAAATAAGTATATTTTATCAGAGGTCCTTGGATGTATAGCCTGAACTTTCATGGCTGTCATGGTTTAACCCCATCCAGCAGCTAAGCTCCATGCAGCCACTTGCTCACTCCCCTCACAGTGGGAGGGGGGAGAGAATTGGAAGGGTAAATGTGAGAAAACTCGTGAGTTGAGGTAAAGACAGTTTAAGAGGTAAAGCAAAAGCCATGTGCAGAAGCAAAGCACACCAAGGAATTAGCTCCCGCCTTCCCCCGGGCAGGCCGGGGCTCAGCCGCCTCCAGGCCAGCCGGGCTCCATCACCTGTAACAGGTACTGGGGAAGACAAACACCATCACTCTGAGCGTCCCCCCCTTCCTCCTCCTTCCCCCAGCTGTATGTGCTGAGCACGACACCGTGGGGTCAGGGATAGCCCTGGGGTCAGTTGGGGCCAGCTGTCCCGCCTGTGCCCCCTCCCAAATTCTTGTGCCCCACCAGCCTGCTGGCTGGTGGGGAGGGGTGAGGTGAGGAGCAGAAAAGGCCTTGGCTCTGTGCAGCCCTGCTCAGCAACAACTAAAACATCCCTGTGGTGTCAACGCTGCTTCCAGCACAAATCCAAAACACAGCCCTGTACCAGCTGCGGAGAAGAAAATTAACTCTATCCCAGCCAAAACCATCAGAATGGCTAAGATATTTTTTCCAGTGAGAAATTTCATACATATCCCAACAATGTATTATTTTTCTTTCTGAAATAAAGTGTCATGCAGCAGCGTTCAGTGGTGCAAACTGAATCTGAGAGCTTCAGGACAAAAATGCATGAGGTACTGTGTTGCCTGTTGGCAATTTTCAGAGCACATAAGATTTTTCAATATGACAGGAATTAACCCCAAACTGAATTGTGTACACACATCCCATAGAGTACAGAAGGCTTCAAGTATCACGCCAGAGGTTGAGGTGAAATTAAAAATACTTTGAGATGGATTTTTTTCATCCTTTTTTATATAGTTGTTAGTTCTGGTTTTGTAACACATTAACCTTTACTGTTCACTAAACACAACCTTTAATTATTACAAGTTTATTAGATACTAGAATGGTATTTTTCGTGTTGTATGCTTGATGTGCAAGGACACAGTGCACAGAAATCTTTTGTTCTTGGTCTCCAAACCCATTAAACATACTAGCAGAATATTAGAAACGCTTAATGAAATTATTACAGTGGAGGCTTTCTGGGGAATTTCTTTTGCTGTGCTCCAAAAAAAGTGTTGCGTCCTAGTTTCTTCTGAGAAACTGTTTTACTTAATAGGTAAACTGGACAAATTTCAGATAATAGTTTTACCAAAAAATAGAAATTTTATGTGAAGCAGAGTAAGTTTTACATTGTTCTGAATTTGGCAATATTTCTGTTTGAAATGTTGCCTTGACTTTCATTGTGACTCCAAAGAAATGATTTCTGGAGAAAGAAAATTAAGATTATTTCTTGTATGGTACTCATTCCTGGCTAACATACTTGTTTTTTCTCTGCTAGGTTGAAGACTGAAAAAGCTTTGCGTTTGAGCATCATCGGTGAGCAGAAGCTTCTATTACTAACTACAGTATTCAAGAATTTAGCATAGACTTAAAACTTTACCAACGTTATAGATACTCCAGTCAGAGCTTCTTTCTCTATAATCTGACTATAATCCTAAAATATGGCTGTTGAAATGCTAAAAGAACTGACGTGTTCACTCACACAGTAGATAGAGAATTGAAGTTGGGACTGAGTATAACCTAACCCTTAGCCAGTGTACTTGACAACAGGACAATATAGACCAAATGTCTGTTTTGTACATCTGTATGTGTATTTATTGTACTTGTCTCCATGCTTTTTTTAGTTGCTTGTAAAAGAGGATGGTATATGTAGGTTAACAGAGACATTGTACTAGCAAGTAAATTCAAAACTTTAACACAATATATTGCACAGCCTTGAATGATTTTCCCTATCATATGATTTGACACTGCACCTTTTCAATTTAATCTGTTCAAAAATTGTGATGTTCAGGACTCTTGTTCAGCCATTGTGTTGTTTTTTTCCCCATGGGGCCTTCCTAAATTTCCATCTTCAGCTATTGATACTGTGATACTGTAAACATTAATTTCCAGTAATGCAGAGTGTAACATATTTTTTCCACAAGGAAGATATAAAATACATCTGAAGTGATGTAAGAATGTTTGAATTACAGCTACCTTCATTCCTGGTATGCAAAATATCAGTGAGTCTATGATGCCATTCAAAATCTTGAAAAACGGGGGGTTATTTCAAAAACTTTGAAGAACTTTAATCTGTGTTGGTGATACAGTGATGATGTAATCATTAACGTTTATTCTTGTAGGAGAAAAACTGCAATGGTTTCAAAGTCACCTTGACCCCAATAAAATTGAGTACACAAAGAAGGAAGCTGGCGAACTAATTGAAAAGTAAGAGTGATGTTAAAAACAGGATTAAAAAGCTTGATTTGTCTTTTATAGTAATGTTCTCATTTAAGATCTGTAAAGTGATGATGACTCAGAGGAGGTCTTTTTATGTATTGCTATTAATAATATCAAGTAGTTGATTTTGTTGCAACTGGGGTTAATTGTATATTGAAAGATGTGTATAGTCACACTAGAGTTACTAAAGTCAGTAGGGTTGTTCTTTGTTGGTTTTTTTTATTATTTAAGCATACCTCTGCTTTTGTAATGTGTGGAGTGCTCTAAATGATTTGGGTAGTAGTAATTGCCTGAATTTGCGAGTTGGGTTATTCAGTGACAGATGCACATATTTCATTCTACTTATGCCTTTATTCTTGAAATATTTTTGCTGAGAGGATTAATCGGTACTCAGGTGGGTCAATTTTTAGGGCAGGAAATACCAAAATTGAATCTGCTAAGAAGAAACTCAGTTATTTCTGGGCTGCTGGAACTATCTACCTGTGACTTGTCACCATTTTTTACCTGCTGGCTAAATAACATATAATATAGAGGTATTCTTACACAAGTGTACTGTATCAGTTTCTTTTCAGAAGCTCTGACGTATTTCCTGCACTGTTCATGAAACCTGTAAACTGCTAATCAACACTAGTGATGCTGCAAAGGCAATAAAAGCTTTCTTTTTGGATTTGTGTTGGATATTTGTGAGATGATATAGAACATGTGCCAAAGAAGAACTTTACTTTAAAAATTATTATTGAGGTGGTGAAATACAGCAATTAAAAGTTATGAATACTTAGATTTAACGCTGGTCTTCCAGGGCAGGTGAATTATAATAATGTGGGAGTTTTGTTCTTTGCAAACATAGTTTAAAAAAGCAGCAAATAAAAAACCCCAATTCTTCTGAAAGCTGCAGATGATTCAAGTGAAGTTCTAAAAAGAGCTTCCACTTTGAAGATTGAAGTATTAGTTCAAATCTGAGATGCATCTCTGACTAATTTGGAAAGTAAGTACAATTAGTAAAATAACTTCTTAGATTATCAAAGTAATTCCGTTTTGCAAAAGTTTTGCATGACTGCATCTAGCATAAATGTATACTATTTCTTTCAGTTATATGTGTCGATTCAATGTGGAATTGGAGCAGATTGAGTTACAAAACAGTATAAAAGGTAGACAAGGAAGACAGCATGGTTCACGGGAAACTGTCATCAAGCAGACCATAGAACGTGAAAAACAACTCTATGAAGGCTATGGAATAGGTACGTAAAAGTATTAGAAGTCACACCTTCTACTCAGAAGGCTAGAATCTAAGTGAAATTTCTAGGCGTTCTCTTTATTTTTCTCTTTAAAGGAATTAACTAACTGCTAGGTATTTATGCCTTGCAGAGGAGTTTGGGAGGAGGGGAAGGGTACAGAAAAGGAAAAAAAAAGATGGTGGAGATCCTACTTGTGTATTTCTGCTTTACTGCTTTGCCTTTGTGCATCTTTGCTAGCACTGCCTCTTTAGTGCAGGCATCTATAACATATTTTTGAAACTAAGGTGAGATTTATTGCATCCGTCCCAAATAAAAATTATGTTTTGCAGCTGGCTTGGACCTTCGTTATATACAAAGTAATTTTTATCTTAAAAGTACATTTCAGTGGGTATGCATGTTTTAACATGCATTAGCATGAAGACTTTATTTGCTCTTGTGGGGAATAACTAGCATCACTTTCTCTACAATTAATTACTTTTTTTTTAGGTGGGCTTTGTTATCTAGACTTGTGCCAATGAAGTCTTTGTAGATAACTTTATACATAACATACAAGCCTGCTGATATTGATAAAGCTGTGGTCTGACTTGCCCCTTTCCACTGAGATGGACCAGTGGCTTCAGCATGTATCATATCATAAGAGAGTGGGCTTTAGGGATCATGAACTTCAGGAGAACCGAAGCTCTGAGCTCATGGGCCTAAAACATCTTCAGAAAGAGATCTTCCATTCCTCTGATGTTGAGATGTGTTTCATGTGGGAGACTGATTACAGCAGAAATTCTAATACTGATATATTTCCAAAATTTGAATATTTCTGGACTTTTCCTATTAACATTTAGGCATTGCAGGAGGAAATCCTGGGTTATTGTGACACGTATACTCTACAGGCTGTATTCTACAGGCATAAATTATAACCCACAAGTAGAAAACCACATGTTTCCTTTTGTTCTTAGGCAGAGGAGATACGCTCCTTTCTTTCAGTTACTGGAGATGGTGGTGGAGGGGGTGTAAGTGCTCTGTGTGAAGGCCCTAACACTTAACCTCTCAATAATCAAAAACCCACAAAAACTCCGAAGGATTAAAAGTAAAAATTTTGTAGGTAAGAGCCTAGTCGAAAGCACTTTTTGAGTTTTAAACATTCACCTTGGCCATTATCACAAGTTTGAGTGAAATCATGATGCTGAATATTCTTGTTGACTTTTAAATTACCATTTATCTTCCTTTGGGTTAGCCATCTATGCCAGCAGATTGTCTAATGAAATCTTCTGAGGAGCAGTCGTGTGAAAACCACAACATAAACATTAGAGCTGAAAAGTTCCTCTTCAGGTGCATAGTCTTCTTTATGAAGAAGCACTTAAACTATTTTTGAAAGTATTTTCTGTTTTGGAGGTAGTACACAGATGCAAGCTACATGTAAGAAATAAATGTAAGACTGAATATTTGACAGCTGAAACTAGAAGGGAAGCAGCAGTAATCTGGTGAAATAAGGGAGAAAGAAAAAGGGATAATGAAAGTGCAAAAAGCAGAGGGTTGTTTTGAGGAGAGTCAAGTACAAAATAGTAGTGAAATTTATGTGCTTTGCTTTAACAGATAAGCATGTTGGAGTTAAGTGATGAACTTGGCTTTACTGCTAAAGTATTATTCAAACAGTCAGTCCTAACAGTGAAAGTATGTCATGGAAGACATGAAAAATCTACATTGGTCTGTCATTAGGTTACAAAGCACATCGTGGTTTGGCTGTGTGTCATATTCCTCTTTCCTCTGATTTATATTGTACTAATAAAGAAAATGAATGTGTTTAAAATTTGCCAGTGTTACTTAGTACTTTCACAACCTGCAATGGCAGAGGAATTCAGGAATATCAGTGTGACTTGATGCGTAATCTTTGACTTCTTAGAAGGGGGAGAAAAAAGGTCATAGGAAAAGAGATAGTATGAATGTCATTAAAGAGCTCAGTTATAGAAAATCTTCATTTTGGTTTTGCTTTTAAATTTTAGTTCTTCCTTTTTTCCTTACTGCTTTGTGTAAAGCTGACAGAAAAAAGCCATAGGACTAGATAGAAAGATGTCAAATGCACAAGCACAACATAAAAATAAAGAAGAATCCAGAAATATTGTAAGCAAAATTTGCAGTTATTATAGTATTAGTAAGTAAAGCATTCAGAGAGCATGGTGCAACTTCACATATTAAATGCGCTCTCAAATCATTCATTATTTGTTATCACAGCTGCTGCAGGTTTTGCTCTCTGTCTAGGACAGCGTTCATTCAGAGAAAATAGTTGCTGCTAAATACTGTAATTAGAGTTTCGGGATAAATGGAAATCAGCTGGAAACTGTGCTTTTATGCTCCAGCCCATTATTATCCATGGAAGCTGTAGTGAGTGGAGCTTTTATAACTGACTTAGTATTTGTTGGGTTTTTTTTCCTTCCTATTCTTCAACTCAGTTATTTCTTGTATGCATGTGCATTTGCTGTGAAGAGACTATATGATATGTATTGTTTACATGTAGGAAAGTGTCCTAAAATCTGATGTCATATATATATGTATATCAGATATATGTAAATGAAAAATGAATTCGTCTTTACTGGCTGCTTACAGAGGTGTCAGATATCCAAAAAAAAATAGTAAATTTTAGTCTTTTTTTGGAAAACAGTACCTATACAGGGAACATTCAGTGTATCTGTGAGGTTGTTGAGTTTTGTTAGCAGCTTCTTTCCACTTAAAGATAATCCTTTCATATACTCCTTAAATGTATCTACATTATTTTTTCTGTAGTCTTCTTCCTGATGTTGTCATTTGTGTGTGTTTGGTTTTTTTAATCTGGTCTAACATGTTTATAGCAAACCTATTGAAAGAGAAACCTAAATATGTACAGGATATGCCCTTGGAACTCAGAGTTAGCATGCTTTCAGTTGAAAAGCATCATAATTATTTCATCTGAACATCATACATTTTTGATAATTTGCTCTAATTACCTTGCGTGTTCTCTCAGAAGCATAATGCTAATCTTGGAGAAAAATGGCCTTTGAAGCTAAACACACCAGTTTTATTAGTTAATTCTTGAAGCTTCAGGTTATAAGTAAATTGATTTAATGCAGATGAAAGTTGTATAATTTACATGTATCTGCTACTGTAACTACTGTACTGTTTGTTAGCTGCTGTTTTCTGTAACGATCATTATTGTGTAACTGACTGTTTCTTTGTCTAAAAGGCATCTACAGTTTCTAACACCCTTTTCCTTTTTTAACTTCAGACTGCAATATCATCCTTTGACCTGACTTGGGTATTTCTATATGACAGTTCTAATGGATGTGATATACATGCAGCCTATATTCTGTGCAGAGCACTGACAGAGCAGTGACATTTCAGTCCTTGTGAGATTTAGGTAAATGTCTTGTGCAGTTCTTTGCTTTGGGAGAGAGAGATGGTTGCTGCTATAAAGAATAATAATGTTTTTATTAACAGTATATTTCAGAGGAAGGAATTAAAGCATCCCAGCAGACTTTCATAGAGCACTTGGTTAAAAAACTGCTGTGGGATACAGCTGTAGGAGGGCAATCTGACACTAGGATTGGCTCCTCTATCCCCTTTTTCTCTAGGTATGCTTTAGAAGCCCTCTGGTTCAAGCTTGTGCACAGAGGCAGGATTGGTTAGACCTACAGCTGACAGCAGCTTTTCACTTCTGATGCCCATAGGAACTTTGAAGTAGTTTGGTTCAGTGCTTCTTCACCCATACCATCGGAAAGGTGCTGACTTTATAGTATTTTACTCAAGTTCTGTGTTATAAATTAAGCTCAGTCACTTTGTCTTTTTCCTTGTTACGAAATGATGTTAAGCACTAACATTGTCATGACAAAGTTTGAGAGCTAACAAGCTGTCGGTTTTATTTTCTTATCTTTCTTCTGAGGAAGAACAATTTGAAAGGGTCAGAAAAACGCTTATTTAAATTTTTCACTGCTGTTTTATTATAACACATAGATTGCTGAATACTTCATCTTAGACATGCCAGGCAGTATCTGCTCCCCAAAATACTGTCTTCATTTCATTTCCACTAACTCCTGTGCCATATTTCTCTGTCTCCCATTTTTTCCATCTTTAGTTCAGAAAAATACACTCCCGTGACTTAACGCTTTCAAATGAAATTAAGAAGCTCACAAGTAGCAGCAAAATCCGTGACACTGGTGCATGCTAAGGAGGTACTTCTGAGTAAGACAAGTGTTATTAATCTGAAAATACAGTGCTACTGCAGCTTTCCACCATAATTTAAAAAATCAGTTACTGTGCCGTATATAGTTACTTTATTTCTAATCACACAGGACTAGAGCTTCTAGTTCTGTTTCTAATCTGGCAACTTTGTGGTTTGTGTTGTATAACATTGCAAACAGACACGTAAACATAATTTAAAAATGTTGCTGCTGCCAAAGCACTAAAGATCAATTCAGTGCCAAATCTTGGTTTGTCACAGAATCTCCCCCCTTTCAGGATGCCTGCTTTCTCCTGACATTGGTGAGCCCTGGATGACAGGCTAGATAAAACTGGTAGAATCTTCTCTTTGGAAAAAATCCTATGTAAGTTAATAAAAGCCATTAAATGCATTCCAAGTTGCTTTTTCAACAACAACAACAAAAAAAAAGGCAATTTAAAGACCTTCATTTGAAAGTCTTGTTATTTAGTCCTGCTTTGTCTGAAAATGCATGTTGGATCAGTGCTTTGACAGAAGGAGCAAATACAAATCTCAGCGTATTTCTGGGACAGTTGGCCCAAATTGGCATGGTGCCACTTCTGCCAAACTCACTGTTTCCATCACAGCTCTGTCCTAGAAGCAAACTGAGTAGACATTGCTCCGTGTAAAATACCTGAGAGAAGGGAAGAACTTCTTTCCCTTGTGGGGGCTACAGTGTTTCAGCATTTGGCACTGGGCTGTTCAAGGGACTGCAAAGAAAGCAAGAGGGCCCATAGTTTTGTTTCGGTGCTTAGTTGGGAAGGATGGACCTACTGTGGCATTGATGTTTATCAGAACCGAGGAATCAGCAGACAAAAAAAGGATTAGGTAAATGTTTCTTTGCCTTGCCTTGCTCCATTGTGAGGAGTATCACCTTATCTATTTACCAAGAAGTAGGCTGCAGAAGTCAGTGTAACTGTTATCAAAACATTTTGCATATATTATTGTCCTTCAATTGCTAACTTTATAACCTGGTGTGAAAGGAAGGAATAGAGGAATACTTTTCAGAATAGTAAAGACTATCTGGCCACAAAGATGAGTGAACAGGTATCATCATCCTATATTCTGTAGTAGCAAAATCATCTATAATCCTGCATTGATAGCATAATCTGATTTATTACTTTAAGACTTGGGAAGATTGATAGATTAACAAAGGCAGAACGGTATGTTTAGGGTTTGCCCAAGGACCATATAAGAAGTTGCTAAAATGTCACATTTTTAAGAGCTAAGATAATAAAATAGATTTAATGTTACAGAGGTAGCAAGCATCATCCTTGTTGGGAAACCTGCTGGAAATCTATGCAGTCTCTAGACAGTAATGAGGTATTTCATACTGTGCAAAAATTTCAAGGCTCCTAAGGCATAAATCTCTAAATTACTGAAGATGTTAAACACAGGTCACTTGCAGTACTTTAGGACTGACCAACAAAAGAATGACACTGAATCAAGGCAAAACAACTTAGGCATCCTAGGTTAAATTCTGCATGAGTTTATACATACACATCTAGAAAGAACATTTTGGCTACTTCAGCAAGAAAAGAAAAAAGTCTGTCTCATAGGTCTCTGTACAAGATGTTTGCCTTTCTTTTTACTACCATAGGTAATAAAGATTTGTTGTGAGTATATGTCACTTATTTCTGATAGTGAGAAAGACTGAAAACTTCCAGTCATCGAAACTACTGATATTTGTTTCTGTTCAACTAAGAGGAACATCAACTCATGAGAGGAGACAAGTGCCAACAGTCTATATAAATATTATGTTGCATTTACTGTAGTATTTAACAGACATTTCAGCAACCACAGAATGCTAGTTTCCCAGTATTGAGTGTCTTATAGAACAGGTATTTAACACTGAAAACAGTAGTTGCATTGGCGTGAGACCAGCTGTTATCAAATAGCTATTCTTTGCTCTCAGACTGTCTCATTGCAGGTGGAGGTAGTATTATATTCCAAAATCCAAGAACGTGTTCTGTTTAAACACCTGACGTCTTACTGTACTCTTCCCAGTGTTTATATTTTAAGAACACAGGTATACATATTTATATGTGTCCTTGTACTGCATCGTAAATTTTACAAAATGTGTTTAACTGTTTGTTACATTTTCTTACTTGAATTATTAGTTACTTTCCTAACTCTACTGCTGATCTGTCTTGCTTGCAGTGGTGATGTAAGTGCTTTGAAATTTTTTTTCCAAAATAATTTCAAAATACTTATGGACCACTTAGTACTCATTAATTTAGAGTGAGACTTGTATATGTAGGTCAGCTTTGAAGCTCGGCTTTCTTATTTTACCTTTTATCTGTTGTGCATATTTATAGTAAGTTCTGTAGGGCAGAATTGTCTTTTTATTACATGGGTGAGGGAATATCTGTTAAAAACGAGCATAACCAGACCTTGATCTTGGTTGAGGATGTTAGTTATGCTTTTAAAGCAAGAAATAAATTATTTTCCTGTTCCTTCACTGGAGTTTTTTTAAAGGGAAACTTTAAGTGCTTAAAATTTTGCTATTCCTCAGATGTGTCAGTTCAGAGAAAGTGAAACACCCTCTTTTTATTATTTGTCAGGGTTCAGTAATATTCAGTAACTGGTACATTTAATTCTGGAGCAGTTTACCAGCGTAAGTTCACTTGATTTTCTTCAGCAGCAAGAGGTCTTCCTGTTTATATAGCGCTCTAGAAACTTTCTAATATGGATCCTCATTCTCATTTTCTTGGTCTTTTAATCTCTGAAATAATATGTTCAGCCCTTCAGCTCACATTTCTTTCTTTGAAATGAGACTCATTTGAATAATGTAACGCATCTAATAAAAGTTAATTTCATTCCCATTAGAAATCCCAGACATTATGAACAGAAAGCATCTTCAGTTTTTCAGGTAAGCTATTTTTATTATCGCTACTAATCTGTTTGTGTAATACAGTGCTTCTGAATTTGACATATTGCCTGTCTTTTTTCGTAAAAAAGAATTTATGCAAAACTGTTAAAGAATTTGTCATTTGAAAAAGCAGACTAGGTATAGTGTTGCTATTTTGGTATTTCCTAACTGTTGCAAGACAAATGCTGGTGACAGTTGATCATTAAAACGTTGGAAGGGTTAGAAAGCTTCAAGAGTTAGAATTCAATTTCTGTAACTTAAGTATCTTTTCAGTATTCTTAGAGAGTATTTTCTCTTTACATAAAATTCTGACATTAGCTGTTCACTGATTTACACAAAAAGGATTAGAATTTACTGTTAGTGTTTAAGGATCAAGACAGATTTATTGATATCCTGGGTTCAGGGAGTGGTGGGGTTTTTTGGTGGCAGGGGAGGGGGCTATAGGGGCGGCCCCCTGTGAGAAGCTTCTCGAAGCTCCCCCAGCTCCAAGTCAGCTCCACCTCTGCACCAAAACTGAGCCAATCGGCTGCGCCTCTGCGATAACGTATTTAAGAAGGGACGTGGTGAGGAGCAGTGTGACTGGTGAGGAGGAGTTGCTGCAGCTGCATGAACACCAAGGTCAGTGGAGGAACGGAGGAAGAAAGGAGGGGGGAGGTGTGCCGGAGCAGAGACCCCCCTGTATCCTGTGGGGAGACGGCAGGGTGGCCCCCCCCGCCACCCATGGAGCTCTATGGTGGAGCAGACATTGATTTGTGGCCTGTTGCTCCTGCTCAGCTGATCAAGGTGTTGTGCCCGAAGAAGGCCGGGGTCGCATGGGAAAAGGCAGCCCCGCTGCTGTAATTCAGCACTGGGAGGATTGCAGCATGCGGGGGAGTCCCACGCTGGAGCAGCTTGGGAAGGGCTGCAGCCGTGGGAGGGAATCCAGTCGGAGGAAGTTAGTGACCCATGAAGGAGCAGTGTGGGGAACGCTGGGGCCCATGGGAGGAACTCATGTCAGAGAAAGTTTGTGGAGGACTGTCTGCTGTGAGAGGGGGACCTCGATGGAGCAGTGGGAAGAAGTTCCAGAAGCTCCCCCCACCGAAGATGGATGAAGTGGCAGCGCTGACTGCACCCCCCATTCCCTGCCCCTGCGCCACTGGGGGAGGAGGTAGAGATATCGGGAGCAGAGCTGAGCCCGGGAAGAAGGGAGGGGTGGGGGGAAGGTGTTCTCAAGATGTGGCAATGCTTCTCACTGTCCTACTCTGTTATGTGTTGTTAGTGTCTGTAATAAATGTATGTTCTTTTTTTCTTCCCCTAACGAGTCTGCCTTTTGCTCGTGACCATAAAAGGGGGATTTTCCCCCATCCCAGTCCTATCTCGAACCCCAAGCCTGGCTCTCTGTCCCTTCTCATTGCCGGAGGGGAAGGGAGAGAGAGCTGCTGCATTGTGGTTGGCTGTTGACCAGGCCTAAACCACAACAATTGATAAATGGAATCACGCTTTTTTCTTACTTGAAATGAGATTTCATAGAGTAATTGTAGTCATATAACATAGCGACATAAGTTATTTATAGTCAGAATTTATGATTAAGTAACTAAAAAACCTCTAAATTCTTGGTCATGTTTTCTGAGATGTAACTCTAGATGTAGTACAGGAGTGTTTGTATGTATATGTTAGTTGAAAATCTTAAGCAAATTGATGACTTGCATCCAGTTAAAAGATGTGGGAGCTGTGAAACTTGCTGCTAGCTCATCTGGGCCAGCAAGACAATATGCCTTGGTAATGGATTGAATGAACACTCTTGCTGACAGCTCTATCAACTGAGATACTTTAAAGGGGAAAAAAAAAAAAAAAAAGGCTTAAGAATGCTGATGTTGCAAGGAATGATATACAGCTAACTCCCAGGGGTGGTATGTAGCCAGAAGTCATACTTACAGCATGTTGGAATAAAGCCAGAAATCTCAATGGAGAGACAGGCCTCACAGCTCTGTTTATAATTACGCAATTGACTTCTTGTACTGGGGCATCTGATGGAAGTGTTGTTTTATTACCTTGGTAGAGCAAAACCATATCTATCTTATAATTGGCAAGTGCTTTCTTTGCACTTGAGAAAAATTATCTGTGAAGTGCACTTATTATAATCAAGAAAGCATTCTATTAATCGAGTATTGGATTTGACTTGTGAAATTTAAATGAACCCTTCCTCCTTCATGCAGCCTTTTGAAATAATACACTTATATGAATTAATGTTTACTAACATTTTGTGTCCCGGTGAAGTCAGTCATACAAGATGCTAACAGTTACCATAAATTATAATGAAGGACTTTATGTACATGTGATATTATCTCTGCAAATTGAGCATCCAGGTGAAGAAACTCTTCCAAACTGCTTTTCTATTGCTTACAAGACTGGGATTTTAGTGTCAAGCCTAAAAGCAGATGGGCTAAAGTAACTGAGGTTACAAATTGTCTGTGGGAATAAAATGAATCATATATTTTTTGTTCAGAATGTCAAATCTGAAAGTACTGAATTCTTCACAGACATGTTACAGCTGCTGTAGCGTACAAGATCAAGTGAAAATGTTGGTGCTTATTCTTAGTGCAGTGGGACTGATACTATAATTTAGAAAAGCAGCCTCGCTTGAGTTAGCATCTTCAGAGGAAAGGTGAATTACTTCTGCCATTTTTTCTTGCTATTTCTATTGGTAATTGTTTCTTAATATTTTTTTTTTTCTTTCAAGAGAATGGGATGGTGATCTGAGGAAACTGCCAAACATAAAAATGAAAAAGCTCTCAGCTAGGGATGCTGCTTGTAGTCGCCATGAGGTGGCAGATGTGGAAGCTAAAGAAGAATTGAATAAAGCAGAAGAGGTGGTGTAATGAGCACCAGCTGAGCTGAAACAGCTGAAGGGAATTGTAAGAAACCCATTTTAATTATCACTGGAAACAGGAATAAATTCTAACTATATTTGTAAAGGCTTTGCTAGCTGCATTTTTATGAGCTCACTGTGTACCTGTGGTGAAGAATAAACAGTATATTATTGGGTAAAGCTGTATATTATTGAATAAAAATATTTGAATATAAATAAATACTTAAAATCGTAATTTTGTCCTTACGTCTCATACTCTACCTTCTCTTTAGGATACAGGCTTCTGAGTTGACAAAGCAATTGTAGTTCATATCTTGAAATCCTGACTAGTTGAGTACCTATTCCCTGGGCTTAGAGCAGTCAGGATTCAGACACATGTTAGAAATACTTTGTGGTGGGAAATCCTTACCTTTTCCTGGTAATGGCAAGAATGTATGTCATTTATTATATAAATAGCAGATCCCCTGGTAAACAGTGGAGGCAGCTAGCGGCAACTTTGCTCCATCTCTTGTGGTGGTGGCTGGGATGTCTCCAGGTGCATGCAGTTTTGTGGAGAGCAGTGATAGGCCTTGTCTCACAAAATCCTGTGCTGTGGGGCACAAAACACTCACCTTGAGTGTGAGAAATGCTCTCCCATTTGGTGGAAATGTATATGCAGAAGATGAGATACATGGAGCTTCAGTTTATCATGAGGAACTCTTCTTGTGTACTTTCTCTTGCCTGAGAATCCGTGTCAGTAACTTGGAGAGCTGGAAGGACTCAGTGAAACACTGAGGGGTTTTGTTTGTTTGGTTTTTTTTTTTTTTTTTTTTTTGTCACGAGAATTAGAATTACACTGTCCTCACCACTGTGTATTGAAGAATTCAGATAAGAAGCCAATTACAGTCCTTGCAGTCTGTTTTTAAATATATCTTTTGTCCATATTTTTATTTTGCTGACTCCTCTGTTGATAAAGCTATGAATTTAAAACTAAGTTGCTTAGGACTTTTAACTAGTAGGCTTGCTTTATGAGGCAACTCTTTAGATGCCTTTAAATGTGTCTTTCAGGAAGGTTCTGCGCAGATTCTCATTTTTAATATTGTAAAATAAAATCTAAAAAGGAAAAAAAAGGGCAAGGGCAAAGCCAGGGATAATTTCACAGCATGCATGAAGTAGGACATCTCTGGTAGTGTGGAGTAGATTGTCTGGGCACAGAAGTCACAGTTCAGATGTACTGTCTGTACACGTTGTAGCAGTCAGTTCAGATGCTGTTCATTATGTGGAAGTAATTACTCCTGGTGGATGATCTTGCTAGTAGTTGATACCCAATACAGTTCTATGTGTTACAGTACAAGGCTTTGTCATGGTGAATAGTTATGTGGATTTCCCAGATTTCTGTTACAGATACCCAGATGTGTATTTTATTAGCCATGCAGTAAGTTTTATTGATGTTAACAGAATAACAGTGTTATATCGATTTTAAGTTTTTCCCTGTTTACAAAATAAGGCCATCCTTTCATGTTTTAGGAAACCAATCTATTTAGTTAATAGGGAATTAACTATTGTCCTCCTTAACTTAATCTAAAAAAGAAACCTGAATAAAATTTAACAGACCTGAAGCATGTGTGAGTGATCTAATGCATCTTCAGATGGACTGTAGGTCTTCAACCTGGCTAGAAATCTTATCCTCTGACACCAGCCGTATCTCTAGGCCATCACAGCCCTCCTTTGGGTTTGTCTGTTTTAGAAATAGGTGTGCTGAAGTTCAGGGCAGGCCTTTGATTTTTTTTTTTTTTTTTATCTTTGTTAAATTGAGCGGTATTGTAGAATTCAGCTTGTTTTGATTTATAAAACTTGAATTGTTAAACTGGTGGAAGCTGAGCCAGGGTAATTGATCTGAAGGAAAGTCGTGTATGTATTTGTTTAGTGCTTTGACAGATTTTGCCTTGCAGAAGATTCATCTTAAATTTTTGCTTGTATACAATGTTTGATGTGCTTTGAAACTGTAAGTAGAAACATTGCAGAAAAAGTCACTTTCGTATCGCGTTGGGTAAAATACAGAAGGAAAATAAACAGAAAGTAACTAGAAGGTGTCACAGTAATGACAGTATATTAGTCTAACGTCTTGGGGAATGCTTTAAAAAAAGATTGTCATGCAGAATTATGAAGAATGAGATGTTCTGTATTCCTTGAAACAATTCAGTAATAAGGTATTGTAAAAAAGTAATTATTACTTGTGTGGTTGATGTGATAGTCAAATATTTGGTTTCCTTTTCAACATTTGTTATTCACACTTCAAGAACTTGTTTACAATTTGAGCTTTGTTGAGTTTGTGGATTTGCTCCCTTGATGTCCATGTATTCACTGCTTATTTAGCTGTCTTGTTGACCTACCGCATGAGTAATTCAAAAAGAACAGTTTCTGTATGCGAACTTTTTACATTGAATTATCAGAAAAAAATCATCTGTAGCTGTCAAGTATTCATATTTGAATTGAAAAGTAATCTAGGCTTAAGTTGATGATGTGCAAGACCAATTTACCAGGTGAATTTTGTTGCAGAATACTAGTGTGGCAATGGGAAAGAACAGGAAAAGAAAACAAAGATATGTATTTATTTTTAATTTCTGTGCACGGAGGTTTTGTGCTGAGAGGCCTGGTGTGGAGGGCATGTAGAGAGAGTCATTTGCCTCACGTATGTTACTGGGATAAGATAGTGGAATCTGTTTTATCAGTTTCATAAGCCAATAATGCCCGTGCTTTAAAGCCAGCTATTAGGGTTTTATATGTTGATAAGTTTCTTCCCTGTGGTGGAAAAAAAGGAGGAATGCTCTCAGGAGTTCTGAATTGTTATTCTGTTTCTTTAGAATTAAAATCTAGAAAGCAGCTGCTGTTAACAGCAGGAATGGGAAATATTTATGTGATGTTCTCTGTTCTTACAAACTTGCTGTAGGGAATACCTTGAAATTCTGTTCATTTGTTAACTAAGGATTACAGGGTTTAATGTTAAATCCTCTATTACAAGTCTCTGTAATTGACAGGGGGGTTTTTCTGGTTAGAGATTAATTTTATGGAAGATTGCTTTAATTTTTAACATGTCAGGTATTGCTTCATAATGCCCCTGCGTTTTTTAGATTTTAACTGCAAAGTGGTAAAAGTTAAAACTCAAGTTTCTTTAATTATCAGGGCTCATATTAAACATCCAAAATGTCAAACAGGTAACATTTAACATGAAAAGTCACTTATATATAAAAGAACTTTTTTCTTTTTTTTAATGTGCTTTCTAATCTGTTACACCGTACTTTGCAGTGTATTTACTAAGGTATACTTTTACTCAAGCCAGCCTTGGAGAGCTAAGACTTTTCTGAAGAACAGGCTGAATTACATTCATACTTTCAGTAGCAGCTGAGTTGTGAGTTGTGCTCTGATTCTGGAACTTACTCTGTTGATGGTGTCAGCTGGAAAGAACCAGCTGACTTTAATTACAGTAACAGTATGATTTTATTTTTTTTTTTCATATAAAAGAAGCAAATGTTGATTTAAAAAAACAAAACAAAAATACCAGAAACCGTAACACTATCCTCCTCAAGGCTGGTTGTATGCAGTGGATTAATTAATTTGCAGTTCTTTAGTGTTGGAAACAAATGTGCCTCAATTAATGGAGCTGTTCACCGTGGCTTTCCAGTCTGCTCCACAGAGTTGGTTCTAAAGGGATGAGACCAACATTTGTGATGTGCAGCACTTCTTAGCCTCGGTATTGTATTTTTCCTTTTTTCCTCAACCAGAGTATCTGTTGATTGTTAGGAAACTCCAGCAGGATGCAGTGGGATGCAACAAGTCAAAAAGGCAACATATATGAACTATATTCTGAGCCATTCCTAAGTAGTTCAAGGAATATACTTAAAGAGTATCTTATGTGTGCATTTTTTATTATCTTTGTCTTTGATTGCGATAGCATATTTACTCATCTCTGTAATGACACTGCCATATCCGAGGGCAGAGTCTGGGATCCAAAAACATGTATGTTGGAGTCCAACTTTTAAAATAGTTCTTTTGCTAGGCACCTGGGAGATAGGGAAGAGTAGTAAAAAAGGACATTATTGTTTTTTCTTGGCAGAAGAAATTCTCAAGGAAACTTCTAGGCTTAGTTTTCTATTAAAGGGCAGAAAAAAGCCTGCACTACAGAAGTATGTAAAATTGGCTTGTTTGGTTGGTCTCAGCATGATACAATGCATACATCATATTTCTATGTTCTAGCTCTTTCAAGAGTAAAAATTCATTATAATTGACTTCCAGACTTTCTTCCCCAGAAGAAGTAACTTTTATGAAGGTAAGAAACTTTGCTGGTGAGGTGTTGTTATTTATGTACTGCTGTTTAAGCTGTTGCCTTAAATACAGCTAGCAAGATCCTGTGCAGAGCACCTATAATGAAACTCTAAAAATAGTGAGAAACTTCCTGTAGTGGTCCTGCAATCAAGTTCCCTAACCCTTAACTGCCTGTATTGCAAATACTGCCCAATTTCTTTAAAAGGAAGAGTTTAATTAGTTACCTGCTACAAATGAAAAAGGAAACTATCTAAACTAAGTCATTAGACTGAAATGCCAGCATTACTCTAAAGCATTTTCTAAAGGAATACAGAAAGGTGGCAGCATTCTACTAATGTCAGCTCGTATACAAGTTCACACATAGTCAGCAAAACAGTAACATGCTGATTTGAAAATCTGTAAAGCGACAGTTCCCATTGCTAGGATGTGAACTGGCCAAAATTCTTATCCATACCTTTTAAATGAAATAATATTTTTTTTTCCCCAGCTTTCAAAATGCACTAGCAGTCTTAGAGGTAAAGTGGCACTTGAAGAAGATTGACTAAAGCCTTTGCCTGAACTTTCTTCTAGACTGATTTGTCCATTTGACTGCATGCTTCAGGGCTCTTGTAAGTAGCTGTCTTGCTTCTGAGAGCCATCAAGATTTTTGTTGTTGTTCTTTTCTGAGTTTATTTTTATGTAACCCATCTGCATCTTGCTACTTTACTTTTCAATTCTGTGCTGTTTGTGAACCATTATTAAATCTTGTGGAACATGTTGTTTACCATGTTCGCAGACATATGCATACACAGATGTAATGATCCATGCTACATTATAGCCTTATTTCTCCTAATTACAAATTACACAAGGTCTAAAGGCATTGTAACTATAAGTTAGTTCTGAAGTAAAAAAAAAGTAACATGGTAACATGCCATTTATTGCACTGGATGACCCTAAAGAAATAGAAAAAGTTATCTTTTGTGTTATGCAGGCGGGGCAGTTTCCCATCTGGCTTTCAAGAGAAGTTATCCGTTGCCAAAATAAGACCTAATTTAGTTGCCAATCTTAAAAATGACTGTGAACTCTCTTCTTTGGTTTTTATTTGGAATAGTGGTGATTATTGTATTTTCATATATAGTATCTTTGAGCTGTTTTAAAAAAAAAAAAAAGGAAGTTCTGTGATTCAGCTGTTAATATCAGTCAAAAATATTTGCAAGTAATAGAAAGGCAAGTCTGTCCCAGGTCCCACACCCTCCATCAGACTGGAATTGTTCTGTACTCAACCTTGGTGTAGAATTTATCCAAGGCTCTCCATGTCGTAGGCAGTGGAAATGTGGTATGCCATTCAAAGTACTTAGTACTTCTGCCAAGTTCTTCAACAAAACTGACAGTTTTCCGACTTTTAAAAAAGCTCATGCACAACAGCCTCAATATTTTGTTGGTATAGGGGGGGAGGTGTGAGTAAATACCACGTAGCTTGTTTCCTTGTTTATGTATATACAGGGAGCAAACTGAACAGAAATGCAGTTTGTGTTCTAACGGTACCCTTCATAAAGAGAGTTGAACTCTTGTATGCAAAGCAAAAAGGCATAGTGACCTGTACTTCTATTCTCTGAATTCTAAACCCAAATTTGGCTCCTTTCCATATGCTAATAAATGGAAATGAATATGTCTTTATTATCATTTGGTTATGCTGTTGCTTCTGTATTATGTCTTGTAGAGGTTTGTGAATCCATCTTTGATTTACAGGGTGAGCTAGTTGGGGCAGCTTTAACAAAATGAGCAATCTGTTGGCCTTGGACGTAAGGAATGTAATTTGTTAGAACACTTCTGTGTTTTGAATATTTATTCTTAGCAGTCACTAGCCATATGATAACTTACTCCAGATAGAACTGTGAGGTTTTGAAACAGTTCCACTCTCTCCCCAGCTGACAAGCTAGGCGTAGGTGGATACAACCCTCTTTAGAAAACTAGATTTGTCGTTTGGTTGGAACTTTGTGTATTTATCAAGATAGGATACTTTCTTTGGTTTCACATCTGATTTTAAGTACACAGATTCTTCTATAACACAAACATGTAATATTTATGTTCACTAAAAAAAAAGCATTTATCTGCTGGGTTTTGGAAAAGCAGAAATTCTCACCAAGTAGAAGTCTAAAATAATAAAAAAGGGAACATGATCCATTCTGACAGTCTAAGGCAGGATTAGCTATAAACCATTGAATTGTTTGTCCAACCCATCTTTAAAGCTTTGTAGTGTTAGACGTTCCACAATCCCGTATAACAAAGAGTTAATTCGAAAGCACTGCTCTCCTTCATAAGTTTTCTTCTTCTCCTCCTGCAGTTGCAGCCCAGTATTAGTTGTCCCTTTTGCTATGGACATAAACCCAGTTGCTTTCTGGGAGTTCTTTATGGAACTGAAGCCTGTTCCCAGTCTTCCTGTCTGCAGTTAAACAGCCATAGTTATTTTCAAGTGGTTTTGTACTGTGAGGCATTCTCTTGAGCATTTTGCCAAGGTGTGGTACCCAAAACTAGCCACTCTGAGCTAGCAGATTTATCAATATTAAGTATGCAGCTGAGTATACTGGTCACCTTTCTTGTAAGAGCCTGGTCTTGCCACTTCATGTTCAGCTTGTGATGTTCCGTATAACAAAGTGACAAACATAGAATACTGCAGTAATTTGGGTAGTTTAATACAAATACATTTTTTTCACAACAATAAGCAGATATATTACTTCTGTTGCCCTTACCTTCTGTCTTTCAGTACACATTCACCCACAAAAACATACAGTTTTTCTTTTGCAAAAGAGAGGGAGTTAAACAAGTAACACAAACTTGTAGTTTCAAATATACACAGTAAGATATTTTCATCATAGAGTAAGTTTCATTGCATTATTAGAAATTATAAACGGTTTGTTCTGGTGGTGGGGAATTACTATTTATTTCTACACAACAAAATAAACACTGCTGTCAGAGTAGTGTGTGAATGGCACCGTTGGACTAGTTGAGACTCTTTGTAATGCTAATGAGTGGTATGTTTATGCCAGTTTCAAATAAACTTTATAATGCTTGTAACTTAAAACAGGGTAAGAAATGTGCATGTTCACAGGTTAGGAGTACCTTGTTGAAAATTCCAGATCTGATCTGACATCAGATTACTTCTACCTACCTACCTCCATTAAAACTTTGCTTAAACAAGAATGCAGATGAAGCTCTGCTTGGTACTGGCAGCTCAGAGCAAGGTTCTGCCCTTGTGGGTGGGTTTAGCCAGGCTGAATCCCACTGTCAGCATATTTGCCCGAGATGCATTGTGGCTACACAGGCAGTTTGATACAGATCTTTATCTGATAAATAATTTTAATTAAAAAGTCTTAGAATGTATTTTAAAACTTTCAGTATAACTTTTTTTTTTTTTTTTTTTCAGGATAGAATCCTGTGGTTATTAAATTGATACAGAAAATTGTGCTTTGTGTGGGAATGAAAAACCACTGGTTGATAAGCAGCTGCCTAGTGTCTATTCGTGTACCTTCCTTATTCATGCAGACTTGTATTCAAGGCATGTTGGCGTGAATAGCTCCTTGCCCTCCTGAAGAGGTTGCACCCTGCGTCAGAAACAAATTCCAATCCTGCATGAAATCCCTGAAAGATCTCAAATACCCACTGCACCTACGGGCTAATACTGTAATGCTTTTAAAAGGTTAAAGACTGCTTCAAGTCTGCTGTAATCTCTCTTGCTGCCAACTTGTCTCATTGTCTGTCTCAGCAGACAGTGTCCCATTTTGCTCCTTTTCCTGCTGTCCAAATTAATATTTCAAAGGGAGTGCAGGAATTTCAACTGAAGACTTTCTCCATTCTTATATTCAATTACCTGTAAACTCAGTTGCATATGCAGTTGAGTGCCAAAATAGTGTTTTGAAGTTGAAGTCATTAGTATAAAATTTTGCAAGTTGTCTGTTCTGTTGCCAACTCTTCAGTGTATTTTTAAAAATGTACAGTAATCTCGTTGGAAACTACAAATCTGCTTTCAGACGCTTCAGTTGTTTTTTTTTGGATTTTTTTGGGGTTTGTGTTTTTTTTTTTTTGAGTTGAATTTTATACTTGTTCAAGAAAAAAACCAATGTGAATTAGTCTCCGGTAAACTGTTAAAATAGAGGATAAAGTACTTTCAATGGCATCATGATGCTACAACAGCAGGTCAAAGAACAAGCTGGCTAAAGAAGCAGGGTTACTGTCACCTAGTAAGAAACTTTCTGATTATTTCAGAAAGCTCTTAATTATCTTCCATAATAATGTTCCTTGTCAGTCAATTTTGCTATATCAGGTTTTATTGTAAACATCATTTGAAACATTTAGATGCAGCTAGTAGTTTTAAGTGTCTAACTTCAGATATCTTGAGATTTACTTTTTAGCAAGTAGATTTATACTTTTTGAAAACTGTGCCTTTGCAGACTATATTAAATGTGTAGTTATGAGGCATTCCTTAGTGCTGTCATCATTTTCTGAAGACCTGAAGTTTCTTCCACAATTATAAACAAAGGAAGTATTTGGTTACTCTTTTGTGTGTCACTTCAAACGTGAAGCTGCTACAATTTGAATTCAAAATTGTATAATTGGAAAGTTACTTTATATGAAAAGTGTGTGTCATTATCTGAAAAAAGCTTAATCATTAATCTAACTCACCTGAAGTAATTTAGAGCAAATACTAATATGTATTTAGGGCCTGTTTACCAAGATTTTGTGTCCTGTCTGGCCCGATGACAGTCACTTTGTCACAGCCAAATTACATGAGCAATTCCAATACAAAAGAACATAATGGTCTGATAAAAAACACATCTTGCTAATACTGCTACTTCCTATTCCCTGAGCCTTAAGCCAGTAAACACATTCACAAAGGAATGCTTAATACATATCTTAGGCCCAGCACCCTGGATATTTGCAAGAATGGGATGGTTGTGTGTAAGGAGCAAATCTGCCATTAGAAACTGCAAGGCTTCTGTAGAAGTCCAGTTCACTTGTAATTGTGGCAGATTCACCCGTGCTTGCCTATCTTCTTTACTCGGGTTCTTTATTTGCTTGTTTGCTTTTTCTTCTTTTCTTAAATACAAGATCAAAAAAGAAGGGTTTTGGGGTTTTGTTTTGTTTTGTTTTGGTTTGGTTTTTTAAATATACATAAGGTTCAGGCTCCAGCCTTGGCCACGCTAGTACATAACTACTCCAAGTCAATACTTGCTGTTGTGTCCTGATGGTAAACATCACAGATACGAGAAGTGAATCACAAAACTGGTTCTTTATATATAATTCACCCTGTTGGACACAGTATTATATCTACATTCATTTATTTATTGCACCCTTTAATGCTATTCACACTTCATTTCTATATGATAATGCTCAAAACACGAAGTTAACAGCTGAACTGTTGAATCTCTAACACCTCAGGTTTACCTGTACAGAGGGAAACCATTGATTTATTTTTTCAGTCAGGAAGATAAAAAATAACTTTTCAGAAAAATTAGATAAAAACTAATGTACTCTTAAGATAGATAGATAGGTATATTCTCTTACGTCTACCTTTCTGTATCACGAACCAAAAAATAAAACCAAAAATGGCTTCCATCTTCCCTATCTGTCATACTTTTTCAGACCTTTGACAATATGCACTTTACTCTTGTGCAGTAAACTGCATTTTTTTTATGGATAGTTCTGCCTCAAAAGTTTGTGTATCCAATTTATGTCTAATTCACTCTTACAAAGTAAAATAAACAGCTGCGGTGCTCTTCTAAATACGTGTATCTATACACTCCCTCCTTCCTGTACTTATTTTGCTGACAGCTATATTTAAAAAAATACCTAGCTTATGGAGACATAAGTTTATAGTGGTTGGAATTGCTTACTTTTCAAAAACTCAGGCATATTTAAAAACAATGCTACCCTTCAAATGTTTCAAATATCCTTAGTTGACACAGCTGCCCAAATGTTCAGGCTCCACATGTGTTACCGTATGAGGCTTAGAGAGTGAATGCTGTGATACAGCTCTGTATTTTGATTCAGTTAATGCATATAACTTGATTGGTATCCTTTTGAAGTCTATCTTTAGGAAGATAAATAGGAAATACAACTCTTAGTAGTAAACAGATGAAAGGTTTTTGTTTTCTATAAACAAAATTATTAATATCAGGTCTGTTTCTACTTTCCCAGCCATTGAATTTTAAAAAAACAAAAAAACAACCAAACTCTTGTCACATTGGTTTGGCATTGTCTGTTAAACCTGTTTAAACCTGTTTTCTATTGCACTTGCTACAATTCCACTTTCACTACACTTGCTGACTAGTTGAGAAACTACTTCACGAACAGTCACATTCCATACAGTAACAGGTTGCTTTGCTGGATCCGTTTTCCTTGCAGGGTTTTGGTTTTTGTGTGGGTTTGGGTTTGTTTTTCAACTGAAAAAATGCACAGTCATTTCTACTCTCTTTTAGCATTTGTAGTGGAGAAAACACTACGTCTTATTCTGCAAGCAAGAAACAATGCTGTCTCTGTCAAACTGGCATGACCTCAGATGATGTTTCTTCAGCTGCCGGCTGAGAGTTTGTACCTGTCTGTGCTACTGGCACCACCACGGCATCCTTGACGTCTGAGGTCTGAGTGCACAAAGAGTTCTTCTCCTCCACTTTTTTGGCAGTGTCCGGGCAGTTCTGAACAAAGATCACTCTGTTGTAGGCTTTCAACCTGCGCCACAGCTGAACATAAACCTTACACTGCACATACATGAAGACCAGGCCCCCTGTGAATCCAATGGCCACCACCACGAGTTTTGTCCAAAATGGCCATTCAAGGACACCTTTGAAAGAAAATGTTTACATTTATTACCACTGTTATACGCTGAATACCAAGTACTGAGTTTCAGTAAAACAGTTTGAAGAGAAGCCACTTGCTAAGAATTCCCAGGTACGTAAACGCAACCGGAGCAGCGGTGGCTCGAGTAGAAAACAGCAGCAGTTTCCCTTCCCTTAGGCCAGCCAAGAAACGACATCTGCCTCCCACTTTTAACTGACTTCACCACGATTGGATCAAATAAGAAATGCTAGGTCACTCTCACAAAGGAAGCATAATGCTTGATACAGTCAAAACCAAAACATGTTACTGTTCTCTGAAAATATTTCCATAGTCAATAGCCTGCTCAAGCAAAATACAAGGATCTCCGAAATGGACATAATGGGAAACCTAGAAATACCATGCACGTTTTCAATAGCAACTGTTTTTGTTTTTTTTGTTTTTGTTTTTGTTTTTGTTTTTATATGTGCTAGAAGCATAACACTGTTTACCATACCTGGAACACCAGCATTTACAATATTATTACCTGGTCCTAGCTTCATCCTGAAGCCAGGGTACAGTAAAAAAAGCTAGTGGAAAGGCCTCTTATCTCCCTCATTGCCTGCCTTCGTTGGCCTCTTTTTCCTGCTGTGTGTGCAAACCCTCCCTGAACATACCTATATCAAAAAACCCAGGGCTTCTATTCCTATGTACTAAAAAAGTAACTTCACAGCTTTTGCTCTATCTGTGTTTTTTTCTCATTGCATTGGTCAATCACATTGATATTTACAGAAAAATATATGGCTGCTAACACAAAAAAAAAGCTAGCGATGAGAGCATTTGAACTTGATTATGATATGAATAATGTTAAAATTATTTGCTTTAGCATAAATGTGGCCTTAAGATTTTAAGAGAATAAATTAATGTTGGATTAAGAACAGCCTTCTCCTCGTTAATTCATACCACTGCATCTGCTTTTTTTCAACCATTCCGTAGCCTAACATAAAAGAACAGCTACCAGCCTTCCCATTACACATTGAGCAGCTCCCCTGTGAGGCCAGGCTGAGAGAGTTGGGGGGGTTCAGCCTGGAGAAGAGAAGGCTCTGGGGAGACATTATAGTGGCCTCCCAGGGCTTAAAGGGGGGTCAGGAGAGGTGGGGAGGGACTCTGGGTCAGGGGGTGTGGGGATAGGATGAGAGGTAATGGTTTTAGACTGAAAGAGGGCAGATTTAGACTAGATATCAGGAAGAAATTCTTCCCTGTTTGGGGGGTGAGGCGCTGGCCCAGGGTGCCCAGAGCAGCTGTGGCTGCCCCCTCCCTGGAAGGGTTCAAGGCCAGGTTGGACGGGGCTGGGAGCCCCCTGGGCTGGGGGAAGGGGGCCCTGCCCGGGGCAGGGGGGCTGGAACTGGATGACCTTTAAGGTCCCTTCCAACCCAAACCACTCTATGATTCTATGATTTAAAGATTAAATGCTCTACACAGGAGTCAGAGCTCTGTATCAGTGCTCAAGCTGTCACTGAACAGTCTGACTAGGTTTGTTGGTCCTATATAAAAGGTGTTTGAATAATGTTTTGCTCACTGAGTGTCGTATTCAAGGCGCCTTGTGGATGCTGTATTCAGCCACTGGTGATATATCACAACTTGGTGATACCTGTGAGTTTAACCCAAGTTTTACCCAGGGGAAAAAAATTTTGCCACAGGCAGGGAAAGCAATCTGCCTTGTTTAGGGACTCAGCAGAAGAGCTTCAGTGAGGAGCTAGTTTCAAATCCTAGCCCTGGTAACCTGGAGTCCTCAAAAGCAAGCCTTTACCTTTAGCCAGCTGTGTGAGTATCCCCTTTACTGTTAAACACATAGGAACGGGGCTTTTAATTAAACAAACAAATAGAGACCAGAAGAATATTATTGCAAAAGCACACAAAATATTTGAAGTAGCTGTAGTTTTCCCTGTCATGGTAACTAGCAGTACTTAGAAACGGTAGCAATGTATTAAGTGATGGTGCTAGCCAGTTGATTTTTTTTTAATTTACAGCAAAATGAAAGCATGCAAAGAGCAGGTAAATCACTTTGTATCTCCCTAGCCACTATTACTCTAGTTAGTTGAATTTGCCAGGGACAAATCCTTTTACATTTGTTAAATTTGTTCACAAAACAATAGTCATTCTTCAATACCCTGTTCCTGGGGCAAAACAATACTTTACTAAGGTGTCATATCCAGTGATGTGGGTTTTCTTGCTTTTTTTTTGTTTTGTTTTGTTTGTTTGTTTTTGTTTTGTTTTGTTTTGTTTTGTTTTGGGTTTTTTTGTTGTTTTGTTTGGTTTTTTTTTTTCCTTTAATAATTGTTTTTAAAAATCACTGCCTCTTTCTTGCTCATAACTATGAAAACAGTATGGTTTGCATCTGACTAAGCCCCGTCAGTGTGTAACAACACTTAGAAAGTCACAGCTGGAGCACTGAACTCAGGAGAAAGGCTGAATAAATGGCTCAGGTTTCCTTCAGAATTTCTTCCACCCCTTAGCAGTAAAGATGTGCTGCTGCTGCTTCCGTGGTAATACAGGAAGCATCATTTTTTGCCTAACTGGTATGGCACAGTGAATTTTGTACCTTTCAGTATATTCCAGCATTGCCATATTTTCACAGACTTGAGCTTTATTATGAGAGACAAAGCTCAGCTAAGCCTAGTCCTGTTTCTTCAAGAAGAACAAATTAATGTGAAACTTGATTCCCTACCAAAGGTGCCAAATCAATTTTGGAATATTTTAAATATAGTTTAAATTGTCCTTTCTATAGATCAGTGAGAGGTTTACTAAATAAGAGATTTATACTTTTATTTATTTGTCATACTCTTTTGTAAGGAGGAAAATAAAAATCCTGTAAGTATTTTGAGAGATACATTTAAAAAGGGGATTTTTAAACTTAGACAATATTAACAGTCAGTACTAGTATTATTCAGGGCTTTCTGTTTTCCTCCTCCTCAAAATATGTTTACAAGTGTTTTTCCTCCAGCGTTCCCTGTCTTTTTCCCAGCGTTTCCTATTTAAACAGAGATAATGCAAACTACATATATGTCTCTTCCTGCCCTCTTCCCAAATACACGTTTGATTTTGTAAAAATACCCACCCTAAAACAAGCAAATTCTGGGGCAAAAGAGTTCTCTTCACAAATACTTATTTTTGCATGTTGTAAGTAGCTCCAAGGCGTCTCTTTGTCCATCTTTGAGTGTGGAGAATCAGCTATTACATTTGGCAAACACTGCATTCTATACAGATTGTAAATACTTTTTGAGCCTTCTGGGATTGATTCTTACGCATTCTATGTAACAACAAAAATTCATGTTAACTGTTTTGTTGTGTAAATTCAGCTAATCCACAGAAATACCTTTTCCCCTTTTTAATGAGTAGGGTGAGGTAGCTATACTCCGAAGTTCAAAGCCATGCCTAGTCCTGTCCTCAGGGCCAGGGTTTTTTTGAGATGAAAACCAGGGTTACCCATTTAGAAAGAATGCAAAACAAGACCTTGTAGTATACATTTGCCTCTGAGTTACTGAGGCTTGTTACATATTTTCCTCTCACAGGCAAGAAAGGCAAGCATCAGGAATATCAAATATTTATCTAACTAGCAAGGCACAAAGCTCTACCTGTTTTGTTTTCCATGTTAACTAAAGCTAGAGACCTTTGTCCCTCTGCTGTACTTAAAGTCAATTCAGATCAAAACTTAAAAGCTTTTTATCCTCTTTGTCATCATGATCATATTTAAGCCTAAATTTAAGACCGATTAGGGTTAGATTTGAAATGGAAGACAGTAGTTCAGTTTGGAATATTAGTTTCTACATATGGTAAGTATAGTCAAAAAAAGAAATCGCTTATGTTGGACATTAATTTTGTTCCACATGTCCTGTTGGGCTTTCAGTATCTCCACAGGTGGAGACTCCACAACCTCCGTGCTCCAGTGTTTGACCACCTTCACAATAAACACAACTGGCATATGTACATTCACAGTGAAATTCTATTTGAAAGGGCGCAGGAATGTCTTTCCAAGCTACTTAAGTCCCACATGAAGGACGAACACAACTGGAACTCCGTCTCTTGGAAGTTCACATTAGGAAGATTGTTGATGAATGAGCTCTATTGTGTTTTACAGGATATCGAGGTTCAAGTGGGTAATATAAATAAATCGCTATTTTATGACCTGAACTTGCACCGAGCTGTTTGAATTTGACCCATCTTTTCGTCTGAGCTTGAGAAATATCTAGATAATGGGAGATTAACCTAGGAAGAACAAGCAGGCCAGTTAAGCTGTTGTAATGATTACACTAAGTAAAAGTCTCTCTGCAGGGGCATAACATGAGCTTTTAACACCGATGCATTCATTACTTCTGCATTAAAGCATTTGTTGTAGCCATGTATCAGTGAGCTGTTATTTAAGAACAGAATGTGACTGGTTACACAGCTGCCTTTCAAAGCCATCCATTGCATTATCAACAGGATTGAAGAAGGTAAAAGATACTTACCGTTATCATTGCCTTGTTTAATTTCCTCAGCGGTTCTATCAATTAAAACATACAGTGACCAAACAACACAGGTAATTGCAATTACATGGAATGTGACCGAACAAACTATTTTCCTCCTCTCACTTGTTGTCATCTGTAGTTTCTCCCACTGCAATTAAAAAAAAAAAAAAGTAATAAAAAAAAAATCAGGCTTGTAAAATTTAAGATAAATTCATTAGGCCATTCTGGCTCTTTCTACCAAACAAGCAGTGATAAAATTAACAAATCCCTTTATTTTGATAGTATATGTTACAATAGTATGTGCATTGTCACTGTAAAATTCATAATGATCTCATTTTCACAGATTCAGAGGAATTAAGAATTCTGTTCTGTTTCTGTCTGCTTGTGAACAACTTCTAAAGTAATTTCATTGCAGTACAGCCATAACATGTTAACAGGTAAAAAGCTGAATATTTATTTTAACCTTACCTGATGTACACTTCTGGTGATGGGAGAAGAAAACGCCCAAACATTAGCTTGTAATACTTAAACTGTTCTCAGCTATTCTCAGTTGCTTAAAATTAGAGGAATGCAGATGTGGAACAGTCTTCCCATAAAATAAAAGCATAAGAAATGCACTGCATTGAGGATTAAATTCAATAAACTTGAAAAGACAATTATGTGGACATGGTCGTATATGATAGCAGTCAAACAGCCGCAGTAACACAAGAAGGATCTTCCAGGCACATGTTTGTGAATTACAGCACTAAATCCTAGCTTAAGTTAAGGCTATTTTAAGACAAAACAGAGTGTTCTCTGCATCTGAACAGTGTAATACTTGAGGTGATTTTTTTTTTTTTTTAATCTTGCTTGTGAAGACATAATTTTTTTCAGCACCTCTTTAAAATAAAACCCTTCTCTACTAAGAATCTTGCCTTTGAAAACAGATGAAAGGATATGACATTTAAAAGCGAAAAGCTTCAGTTCGGATGAATAATCTGAGAGTCAGTCGCGAGCATCTGAGGAAGGAGGCGAGTACAAACCGCAGTACGACAGTGCCACCTCTCTGCAGTCGTGCTAAGGAAGACAGAGCTGTGCTTCAGCATCCGAGCCACAGTGGCCATCCACTGGCCACAGGGCCAGCAAAGCTTACACGGGCCTCCAGGTGCTAAGGCTGGATTCTAAATCCTGCACTGAGGTGGTATAAATTTACTTTGAAGGTATGAGTTCGGCTTTGTTTTCCTTTTTTTTTTTTTTTTTTTTTTTTTACCAGCATGCTGCTTTTTTATTTATTTATTTATTTATTATTTTGGTTTGGCTTGCATTTGGGAAATAACAAATTTCCCTAAACTGCTTATGGGAAGGGTAGGAGATGGCATCTAAGCAAAATGCTTCGACTTTAACCTGAACCAATATGGCCATTCTTCTAGGCTGAACACTATTTGCTCTCTGCTCATTTTGAAGCAGCACGACCACAGTGCAAGCTGAGGAATGCCAATCCAATGTCGACAAGAGGGCTAACTCTCAGAAATGCTTCTTCCTGCCATTAGTTTTAGAGAAGTACAAAACCTCTGGAGATTTTCTAGCCCTTAGCAGAATTTTACAAACACAACGCTTAAATAACTGTTTTGAAGGAATGAAATATTTCCCGAGTAACATACAAAGAGGCAGAGCTAGCAGTTTATTTACCAGCTGATACCTCATTTCCGCTTCTGATACATCTGCTTAGGAGTGAAAACTAAGCTTGCTGGGTTTTGTACGTCAGTCTGGAAAAATGGGAGGCATTAAAAAAAAAAAAAAAAAAAAGTAAGAAAAACCCAGACCCATATATTCATTATAGTTCATGTAGGTGGTGTTCAGCAGCCAGACCAGACAGACTGTGGCATTATCATCACAGTCTTATCATATCATTACAGTCATCAGGTTACACAGCATTTGACCTGGAGACTTTCATTCTTTTTGCAGTGAAAATTCAATTCAAGACTCACAACAGGCCTTCTTTCCAAAGACAAAGTTATCTTTGTCCAGATGGAAGAAAGGATTTTACCTTAACCCTTCACTTACATGTGGATGCTTGGTGAGAGATCAATGTTGAACATAAAGAATGAATTGTGTTCTTAAACAGAAATATTTTCTGTCATCTCAACTCTGATGCTACACTTTCTGGCCTACTGGAGAGAAGATTCTGTGCTAAATTTTCACTGTCATGTATACCTGCAGTCTCATTATAGCCATTTCAGTCTCTGTAACATATACAAAAGCCTTAGAAAGTTGATCTGAATGGCCAGTCAAATAAAGCTTTTTAATACAGAATTTTAAAGTCAAAGAAGAATGCTGGTCCCATCACTCTAGAAGTAAACATTTTGTAACTAGGAAAAAAAAAAAAAAACAAAACCAAACAAGCAACCAACAGGCAGGATAGGTAAATAAAGGAACAATCTCATAAACTTCTGCTGAGATTTACAAGAAAGGTGTATCAGGAGAGGGAGCTAGCAGAAATGGGCTAAATTTGACCTTTTTTTGCTAACGTCCCACGATCAAATCCAGCGACAAAACAAGCTAAGGCCTACCAGACTCAGCTTCGTCTCTCTGGCCCCTTTTCTTCTCCCAGAAGACAGCATGCTGTGGGTCTGTTCTGTCCACACGCCTGTCAGCACACCAGAAATAAACTGGCTGGCAGGAGACTGGGAGAGGCCACCAGCGTATGGGTGGTCATGGAGCTGGCAGACTGTGCAGAGCACCTCGCATTCCCAGCTGGGATGCAAGAAAGAAGCAAGGACCAAGGAGAGACTCCTGCCTTCACAGGCAGATGCAGGGGGATCAGAGTATTTGGGAGCACTTTCCAGCTCTTAGTGTCTCCCAAAGCTTTGCTCCGGTTTTGCTCAGCTCTAGCTGCAGTCCCAGTTCTCCTCTCAACTCCAGTCATGATGGGCTGAGCTCTGAAGGGGAAATTCAATTAAACTTTGTGCTCTACTCCTAGTGATCGCTGTGGTAGCTGAGGTAATTTTCCTGCCCTACTTACGTATTTTAGCTTGGCTGAGCAGAGAGCACTATTTGACTACTGTCACTCTCTACTAGATGAGTGATGCTAGTAGATAAGCCAGAAAAGTAGAATTCGATATTTTAGAATTTTTGCAATAGGCTTAAAATCAAAAATTTAACTGTTAAAGTTAGCACAGGCTTGCTTGGATAAAAGCATAGCTTTGTGAAATAAAAATTGTTTGAAAATCCATAGCAAAGGCTATAGGACAGCAATATATTGAGCAGTGAAAGCATCACCCCCTTTTACTTTGTGCTTTATAATCCAGGACTTGATATAGCCTAAAGTTGGGTGGGTAAATTTGGCACATGCTACCATGTCATACAGCACATTAATGCCTCCTTAACCACTGATAAATTCACCCCTGCTGTATTTTGAAGCTTCAGCAGTTCTCATGGCTCTCTACATTCATGAAAGCAAGACAAAAATAAATTGCATCACATTTTATTATCTTCAGCTGTGATCTAGAAAAATGGACAGCCATCAGGCTGATGACACTGTGACACTCCACAGATAGAATATCATGTGCCACCAGGAACAGAAAAATCACACAAAAGTAAATGCCCAAATGCAATTTTCCTTGGAAAGTTATATGTTAATACTCCCAAGGTGCTCTAAAGACTGGAAGGGGAAAAATAAATGAAACACTGTAACAGCCCGAGGAGACATTTATAATGACTTGCAAACTACTGTCACTAAATTGATAGACAAACACTGGTTTTTGCCCAGCCTTCTCTGAAGCACCCTTTCACTGTTGTATATCCTATTGTCACCACCCCCAGATTCCTTCATCCCGACAGCAATGCAAACACAGACTAGAAATCACCACAGATGCAGATGGTTTAATGTCCTGCAAATTGCGCTCCACGAGACCTTCACCAAACAAATCCACAATGCAACAGTGTGTATCCCAAGAAGAAAGCTTGAACTATCCCCAGCCCTCTTTATTTTCTGAAGCAGCTTTCTTTAACATTACACTTGCACTGTGCTCTGCAAACCGCTGGAGGGTGGTAGGAAACTGTCCACCTGCTTCAGAGGTTCCTACCAAGAATCCAGACCGACCTGTCAGAGGAAAGAAGCTGAACTGTAAATGTGAGCAGAAACACTCCTCCCACCCCAACTACTACTTACACCTTCTTCTAAACCACGACGTGCACCTCAGCCTGAATTCCTATGCTTTACTGCCAGAGGAGTTTGTAATAATCTTGAAAGTGGCAGCTGTAAAACTGTACCCTGTTCTAGGTTTCTACCTTGTGATTTGGTTTATGTTTCTTAAAGACTATCTCGCTCTGAAGCTTAAAGGGAATGGTTACTGATTTCATAACTCGCTTTTGCAACTGGAGAATGTAGTCATGAGTCTTCTGGGGAAAGAAAAAAAAAGTTTTAAAAGAAAAAAATAGCTTACTCACAGGGAACATCTACATCATATGTAGCCAACCACTTCCCTTTCCTGTAACACAGTCTGAGAAAATCCCTGGTATTTATTTTAAAGGACCAGAATCTACCTCCCTGCATATCATTTCTAACAAGAGCTTGCTTAATCAATATGCAACAAATAAATATGGTTATTTTTCAATATCCTCTGAAAACAGACTGTCTGCAGATGTGGGGATGCTGCTTCATATCCTAGAGATCCTAATACAGCCTCTCTTCTCACAGACAGCAGTAAATCAGCATTTTTAATTCCCTCCCATACCTTAAGCTTTCTGCAAAGTGGTTTCATGGTGACCCCATGCAGAACAAAAAGCTTCGCACCGCTCACACAAAAGCTAAGCTGTTACCACACCACAGAATTGCACTCTGCAAACTCTGCTGTCTGTGTTCCTTTTTCCCACCTTCAGATTGTAGATTTACTGTCTGCCTGCCCCCATCCACCATTTTGTTGCTTCCTGCTAGTGGAAACCTTCTGTCACAGTGGCCGCAAAATTTTGTCTAGGTAGATTTCCCGAAGCAACTCCATATCTACTGCAGGTTGCAGATTCACACCTTTACAACCAAAGGTCTCCCCCCTGCAGGGGCTCATCGCTGGGGATGTCAAATTGAAGGTGAAGTTAATGGGCGGCTTTGCCACATGCTATGAATGCTTGGACTTTTAACTCCTGGGTATTTTCAGGAACCCTATTTTAAAA